AGCAGGAGTGTTATCAAACCTAGGCTGCGGCTTCGGCGACTCGGGATGTAAACACCAGCACACTTAAAAAGAAGTATAACTTCGCCTCCAGGTCCCTCAAAAGAGTTATTGCCAAGGCAAAGTCAGAGCACATAGGCAGAATTGGCGAGAAACTAGTTCGCCTTCCTTCGGGAACCCGTGCATTCTGGTCTCTCGCCAAGGCTGTCCAAGGGAATTTCTGTAAGCCATCACTACCATCTCTGCACATGGAGGACGACTCACTGGCCCAAGACGCAAAAGACAAAGCTGACCTTTTAGGCTCCCTTTTTGCGTCCAACTCGACTCTTGATGACGGGGGGAAAACACCGCCGACCATCCCGCGGTGTGAGTGCTCCATGCCGGATGTGCTGTTCTCACAGCGCTCGGTTCGCAAAGCACTTCTCTCCCTGGACATCCAGAAGTCGAGTGGGCCTGACGGAATCCCCCCAATTGTGCTGAGGACGTGTGCTCCGGAGTTGGCACCGGTCCTAACGCGTCTTTTTCGGTACTCCTACTCCCAAGGCGTAGTCCCGAATTCATGGAAGACAGCTTTTGTCCACCCGATCCCTAAAAAAGGCGACCGCTCAGACCCGTCCAACTATAGGCCTATCGCGATCACCTCCTTATTCTCCAAAATAATGGAATCCATTATTAACTGCCAGCTCATCCGGTACCTTGAGGATCACCAGCTGATTAGTGACCGCCAATACGGTTTTCTTCGGGGTCGATCAGCTGGTGATCTTCTGGTCTACCTGACCCATAGATGGGCGGAGGCAGTAGAGTCCAAGGGGGAGGCGTTGGCCGTTAGTCTGGACATTGCGAAGGCCTTTGATCGGGTTTGGCACAAAGCGCTTCTTTCAAAGCTTCCTTCCTATGGGCTTCCCGAGAAATTGTGCAATTGGATCACCAACTTCCTTGCAGATCGGAGCACCAACTTCCTTGCAGAGCGGTCGTTGTAGACGGTGCATGTTCTGACTACAAGCCTATTAACGCTGGTGTTCCACAAGGCTGTGTGCTATCACCAACGCTGTTTCTTCTGCATATCAATGATATGTTGCTAACTGGTACATTCATTGCTATGCGGATGACAGCACTGGTGATGCTCTATACACCGGCCGTGCCAATATTTCTCGGGAAAACGTCGCCGAGTACCGGAACAAACTTGTGTCTGAAGTCGAGTCTTTGCTGAACAAAGTCTCGGATTGGGGGCGACTAAATCTAGTCCACTTTAATCCTCAGAAGACACAAGTTTGCGCGTTTACCGCTAAAAAGAACCCCTTTGTCGTATCTCCTCAGTTTCAAGGCACTCCCCTTCTTGCCTCAGCCAGTACCGGTATCCTCGGAGTCCTCGGCGTCGACATATCGAGTGACGTGTAGTTTCGTGGTCACTTGGAAGAGAAGGCCAAATTGGCCTCTAAAAAGCTTGGCGTGCTCAGCAGAGCGGGACAGTATTTCATGCCGGCACACCGCCTGCAACTTTACAAGGCGCAGGTTCGGCCTCACATGGAATACTGTTCCTATCTCTGGGCAGGGGCTCCCCAGTGCCACTTGACCGCATCCAGCGCAGAGCGACTCGAATCGTCGACGACCGAGCCCTTTCCGATCGGCTCGATTCATTGGCACTGCGAAGAGATGTTGCATCCCTTTGCATTTTCTTTCGCATCTACCATGGGGAGTGCTCTGAGGAATTGTTCGGATTAATCCCAGCCGCCAAATTTCACGAACGCACATCGCGGCAAAACTCCCGATACCATCCACACCATCTGGATGATTGGCGGTCCACCACTGTGCGATTTAGAAGATGTTTTCTTCCTCGCACGACTTCTTTGTGGAATCGATTACCATCAGCGATTTTTGCGGACCGATACGACTTAGGGACCTTCAAGAAAAGAGCATACTCCTTTTTAAAAGGCCGGCAACGCATCTGCAATTCCCTCCCTGGTGTTGCAGTTGTTCATGGGGCGGCGGTAGTCACTTACCATCAGGTGAGCCGCATGCTCGTATAAAAAAAAACCACCATTTTTCTTAGAACTTTTTTACACTAGACGCGAACTTTCAATTGAGCCCCCATATAATATCAAAACTAGCAAGCAGACTTAATTCTGCAGCATATCTGTAAAAAATATTAGAAATCTTACCATTGTTGAAACAGCTAAACTAGCTTACTTTAGCTATTTCCATAGCATAATGTCACATGGTATTTTGCTATGGGGACGCGACTAACACTGAAATTATTTATTTATTTAACAATTTATGTACAGGATTTTTTTAAATAGTTTAAATACACACAAGTTGTCACTAATAACTTTATTATACTTCCAATTTATATATGTTTTAATCAAATCAAATCAAATCATTTATTTCGCTAAAATATGGGTACAGACGGATGGATACAGAGTCAATATTTGTTTCCACATATTTTGACATTCGTGGCATGCGAAAAAAATTTTTTTTTAATATAAATGTGTTCAGAACAAATGAACTAACATTAAAAATATACACATAATATTCCAGTATGTAACTACCACTTTGTAATGATTACATTTGTTTTTAGAAGAACATAACAAAATTCGAAAAATAACCTTTAATTCATTTGAGAAGTATCACGCAAAATCCTTGATCTATAGTAACTTACTTAGCTAAACAAAATCAAAAAAAAAAAAGAAATCAAAAGCAAAATCAAAATTTATAGTTAAATAATTCTTTGATGTTATAAAAGGCAGTATTTATTAGCCACTGCTTTAAACTTTTTTTCATTCGCGTTAATGGCTGTTCACGAATATTTTTAGGAACTTTATTATATATCTTGATACACATTACGAAACAATTCCTGTGGAATAATGCAGTTCTACAAGGTGGTATCAGTAGACGTGTCGGATCTCTTTTTGCAAATTTATTATTTTCCTGCACGGTAACAAATTGATTTGTATTATTTTTTATAAAAACGCAGATTTCTAATATATATAACCCAGTTAAAGTGAGATTATTTTTTTTTCTTAAACAGGGGTCTACAGCTCTGTAGAGGGCCTACGTTACACAGTGCACGAATACATTTCTTCTGGCTTTGAAAGGCTCTGTTTGCGTCTGTTGAGTTGCCCCACAAGATTAATCCATATCTTAAGACGGATTTCTTTAGAAGAAGGCCATAAGATTAATTTATGATTTAAAGCCTAAAGAGTCAAAAATTTAAGGAAATTGATATAATAACTGTGGCCTTTCAATACAATTATGAAAATGTAATGTACATACACAAAAATAAAAGTAGTTTTGCAATAATAAGTGATATTCATTCTGTACATACTAGGAACAGACATAAGCTACTCGTAGTAGTACCAGTTACTCGACTCCATCGTGTCAGTAAGTCATTCCTGGGGGGATGTATACGCTTTCACAACAAAATTCCAAAAAATATACAAAATTTGACCTGCTCAAAGTTCAAAAAGTTTATTAAACTAAATTTGTATAAAAACGGTTATTATAATATTAAGGAATTTATGGATCATAATAAACCCTGGGAGGTGATTGCTACCAAGCTATTTCTAATTTGTTTTGTGTTGTTAATTGTGTAACATACATGATTGTAAGTTATTATTGAAGTCCCGCTGGGTTTAAAAGTTTCTGTTTCTATTGCCTAAATTCTAAAGGTTATAAGATTTGCAAATACGAACTCTGTATAGTTAAATTTTATTATTATGATATTTTCAATTTCAGACTGCTAATATACTCGACTGTTTATGAATCTGATGGGGAGATATACTGTTAATAATTGGTGGTTAATAAAGATTTTTTATCAAGGTACAGTTTCCAATTAACACTATTGTGCTGTGTTGGAAAATGCTTCGGGAATGTGTTGTTTTATCCACGTAACGCTAATGTTTTAAAATTGTGTGCCGTTCGTATCAAGTAACTCCCAATCGTGAAAACATTTCACAAGAAATCACAAATCACTCCGTTCGCCTTCATCTTTCATTGTCAGCTATCTCGTTTTTTTATTTATTTTAAAAGCTTTTTTGTTTTAACTGTCCAATTAAGCTGTTTGTTTTTTGTTTGTTCATATTTTTTAATAAAATAAGTTTAATATTTATCAATATTTATAATTTGAAAATTAAATAAAGAAAAAAAAATTTAGACTATGTAGTTGTAATAAAAAAATAGTTCCTTTTCTGCCTCAGCGTTTTTGTAAATTTGTATGTTAAAATTATTGAATTTAATAAAAAAAACATTTGTCAGGTGTTTCAATTAATAATATATAGATGATTTTTATTAAGGCTCGAACCACGAAAGTAAAAGCAAAGGCATGCCTGTGCGCATGTAGATATTGTGTTCATATAAATACGCATATGTGAGAGAGACATTGGTATCATTTTAAAAACAGTATTATTAGATTTACATTATAGATTTTAAAATGTGGAGAGATTTGGTTGTATTTTGGTTTTAATTTGGACAAGGACTGAGTAGTGGCAGTGTAAGAGTATATATTACCTCATGTTATCCCGTGGGTGTAGTAAAAGGTGACTGAGAGAAATAAATTAGAAGATGCCTGCATCTTTCTAATAATGATTAAAAATAAAAATTAAATTGCGGTTGCTAACCTGCTTGTCAAGCAATAAATATCTCTCTTATGAGGCAATCTTTAGGGGAGGGCTATGTTCTGTTTCTATGTTCGTTGACCGCTTCGTGGCGCAGTGGCTTAGCAATTGAGTTGCAGTGCTAAGGGCCGTGGGTTTGATTTCCGCACGAAACAAGTATTTGTATGGTATACAAATAATTTTTCCGGGTCTGGATGTTTGTCCTTGTGCAATTTATGTTTGTAAATTGCTTTCATGACACACGAGAAAAGGTAACGTTTTTTAAAAGAAATCAGTAGTAAACTAATAGGCTTTAACGGTAACGGACTTCACAAGCTTAGACTTGTTAATAACTATGTTTAGTTTTAAATGTTAATTGAGTTTTAAATGTGGTAAACGAAGCTGAATTTGCAGCGGCAGCAGTTCCGGCTCGGGTTCCATGCAACACTCGTTCTCGGTGGACGAGATCCAGAAGATCCGGACTCGGCTGAAGTCGTCCAAATCGTGCGGCGACGAGCTGGGCGGCGGCGAGCGCGACGACGGCGACAACTCGTCGTCCGGCGTGTCGTCCGACCAGGAGGCGCAGGCGAAGCCGCGGCGCGACAAGGTCTCCTTCTGCGACTCCGTGACCGTGAAGTCCGGCAACGACGTGATCAGCACCGAGCCCGTGCACAGCTCGTCGGAGAGCCTGGCGCCCATGCAGCGCCACAACTCGCTGACGCGGGCGCGCGCGGCGGCCGTGGCGGCGGCGGTGGCGGGCGCGGCGCGCGGGCGCTCGGCGGCCGAGCGCCTGGGCGTGGACGTGTGCAAGGCGCCGGGCCGCGCGCGCTGCGCCGTGTCGCTGGCGCAGCTGCCGCCGCCGCCCGAGGAGCCGGCGCAGGCGGCCGACGCCGCGCCGCTGCTGGCGCCGCCGCCGCAGTTCAGCGACCGCGCGCGCGTCGTCGCCGCGCTGCCCAAGCGCGCGCACCGCTAGCCGCGCCACCGCCCCCCCGCGCCGTCGTATACACAGCTTCACTCGGACTACTACTAGCTAACTTAGCCGTCAAAACAGACCTCTGACACGTCATCGCTCGCCCGCAACAATACATATCGTCGCCTCGCTTGTGACACATCACTGAAAATACTATTAGCGTGACATCGCCAGTTCGTCGCCGGTGCCTATCTTACGGCATCGCCTCCCCGCACTAACTCGAATCCGCACACTCAAATTACTCATTACTAAGCATTACGTCTATCTAGTGATCTACGATATCGTCACTTCGTTAAACTGCCGAAAACTGTACAAAATGTCGTCTTTAACACTATTACCACGCACGGCACTAGAAGCTAGATTCGCACTACTGCTACACTAGCGTAACGTAGCTCACTCAAAACAAAACATCATCTGACATAACATTAAGCACTCCCCACAAATAATAACCTCACCATATCTACGTAAACAACGTCATCCGTCAGTTTAGTGCCACTACTCCGATCCCGCAAACTCGAGCAATTCACGTTCACACTGAATAACATATCAAGCCAGACCAGCACGTCTACTTCGCTTTCATACACTCAAATAATCCGTCATCAAAGGCGACATCATCACTACGAACCGATGTACTCACTTTCAGCCCGTGTACCCGTGGCAGTCAATCCAAATTACACTTCCCGAAATATCCCAACATACGAATTCGCGTCATCACTGCACTCATCAGCTAATCTAACGTTAATCTGGACTGAACTAACGACGCGGCCTATACTTTATACATAGACTTTACATTCACCTAGACTATAATGTACTAAAATATCTCTCAAGCGACATTCCATCAGATAGTAGTAATATTTACAGCGTCATAGACAATAGAGCATGCGAGCTCACACTGAGTGTTTAGTGCCAAAATGGAAAATTTGTTAAGGATCTTCGCATTAGATATTCAAAACATTCAACTCACTAATGTAAAATGTATTGTGCACTAATTTCGTCGACGTCTCGCAACCTACTTTCGATAGGAGTTATTCTTATGAACCGTAGATTATGTAAAATCTTCACAATTCCGTACACACGTGCGCGCGTACCGTGTACTTGTAATTAAGCACGCGTTTTTTTGCAAACGGAATATAATTGTATAAGCGAAAACTTTTTGTAATGAAGCGACTATATGAAACCAAAGATTTATAGTATTTATTGTTGAGAATTTAACATTTGATATAGTTGAAAGTAATTTTATACATTCCTTTACTGACTAGTATTAACACACTGTCTACGCATGTCCACTTTCAGTTTCGTTCGATCGTAATGTTGCTTTCATTTAGTCTCCAATGTGTCAAACGTAACATTAAAAATATATGAGTGCAAATTTTATTCGAAAATAAAATTGAAATGTGCTCCATTCTTTTACAACGCAACCAAGTGCCATCGTGTCTATAATTTTAAAATATTTTAATAATATATTTCCTATATGTAAATACAAAAGCTATAACGAGAGTCGTTAAAAGAGTGGACTAGAGGCAGGCAAACAAAAATATATCCGGCCAACAGAATTGATATTTAAAAAAATATTATTGATATGTACACAATATTTATGAATATATCTTTAAATATGTTTAAATAATGAAAGTTATTATTCTATTAATTTATTTAATTCGTCCAAAGTTTTATAACATAAGTGTAACGGTCCACTCTTTTGACTTGTGCAATTGTATATTATAACCTTTCAAAGGCCAGGAGTTGCTTCAAATGTAAATTTATTTTAGCAAAACAAAAATTATTGATTGCATTTTATCACTGATTAACTACAAAATAATTTATTATTTTACAATAAAATACATTAAAATTAGTAAGTCATATTTTATTATTAATTTGAATCAATATTATATATAAATTTTGAATTAGTTCTAAATAATTAATTAAACATTTATTTATAACAAGATCATGAAACAAATCACAGAGATCAATGATTTATTTTATTATGTTACAACCCCTGCCGATGTTTTGTACACCTTACTGTGAATATACTTAATTATATGATATTTCGCTGTCTTTATCTCGAGTTCATAAAATTAAAAAGTTTTTCTATTATAACAAGTATGCAAGTTTTTGTCTTTATTTTATAAAATAAACAAAACTTCTATTATTGGACCTGACTTTTCTAATAGAAAAACTTTATGATTCCTCTTTTTGTATACAAAAGTTGTTAAATAACTGCCTTTACATCGGATTTTTGCAAGTAAAATTAAGTTAGTATAAATCTTGTGTTATGCAACTTATTTTAAATTAATCAATTGATATTTCGCCTTGGATAACTTGTTTGTATTTCACCTCGTTAGCTGCGTCTATGTTGAGACGGCGTCCGCGCTAGATTAGAATAAATATGTTTTACGCAATTAAGCTTACTTTCGTTATATCTATCCTATCGACTTCGGAGAGTCTTTTCCCAGCCATGGACTGCTCCATTCCACGGTCTTAACATTGATGCTAAAAGTCACTACCAAACTCTTACATTAAAATGTAATTTCTATAGTAAAATAATACAGGTTCTTCTAACAAATATTTCGCAATACGCAAATTCTTATTTAGCGTATTTTATTTCGAAAGAACTTCAAAAAATAATTTCTTTTTCTTTAACAAAAGCTTTAGTATTTTTCGAAGTCTTCATATGGTTCTGATCTATCGTATGGTTGAATGTAACTATTGTGCGAAAATTCTAGAAAACTGTAATAACTAGCACGAGCCGCCTCAGCATGTTAACGCGTTGGATAGCCTTCACTACATCATTAGCACAATCTGTTATTTCTTAAATATTAATGATTGGTGTATTATTTTATTATTACGTTATTACCTTCTTGTCATTAATTTAAGTTGTATAAATGTACTGTCGAATTAAGGCGTAGATAGGTAGTGGTAAATATATTAGCGCAATATTTGATGACTTCAAAATAACTGATGAAAGTAAAGCGGTCATATATTCTATAGGCATATTGGTTGCTTAATTTTCAAACATTTGTTAATTTAATTTGATGTAAAATATTATTCTACAAATCTTAAAATGTTATTTTTATAGTAAACTGATGGTAAGTAGCTAATACAGCCCATGATCCCATGCGAACCACTAAAATCAACACAGAACAGATTTTTTTCAAGCTTTGTGAGAACTATGATGTAATGCTTGAAAAGTGGAATGCAGTCTAACTGTTAAGCAGAAAAACGACTCTACCACCGAAGGATACAAAAATTATTCACAATAATTGTCATAAGACATGGCCTCCCTAAAATTTGATAAGCAAAGAGATTAATTTCGAATGTTCCGCACATAAATTCGTCGTTCGAGATAGCACAAGCGGAAAAGATAACATTTATTATCTTTAGATAACATTCTGTATAGCCACTTACTAATTTCCTTTCAGGGTTACATAATGTGATTTAAATTTTATATAAACCTTTTTATTTGCTAATTAATACAATTTGTATAACACATTTGAATATGAAATGAAAATTAAGCAAACACAAACGTTGTGACCGCGCTGCTATTTTGTATAATACAAACACTGTGTTAATACATTTCATTTGAATCTCAGTATCAAACGCGTAATTACAACTTGGTATACTTTCAAATGAAAAATTAAATGTTTCATCACTAATGTGCGTATTTTATTTAAAAATATAACGCATCACGCCTGTAAACCATAGGGAGGAGGCAATATCTCATTAGTCACCTTTCACGACATATTAATCAAGTAACAGAGGTATTGTCACATTCTTTTTGTTATAAGCCTAACATAAACTTAGGGCTTATATGTAAGGCGCAGACCAACATAGGATAGTTATTATTCATAAATATACATTGTTCTTATTTTATTCAGTAACTAGTAAACGGCCTATGACGACGGCGGATGTTGCTACTATTCTACTATCTGGGGGCACGGCAGTGCCCCCGCCAAGTCTGTTGTTTGTATGTGTTTACAGAATTATTATCATTAAAATCACCAATACAACCCTGTAAGTTCATATTAGCCCTTTCAATGAGTTTTTTCAGAAAAATATGAACTTATGGCTAATATGAACTTTTTTTTTATGGGATAAGGGTGACAAACGAGCACACAGTCCACCTGATGGTAAGTGGTTGCTGCGGCCCATAGACATCTACATCTATCCTCTGTTACAAATCAAAATGTAGATGCGTTGTCACCCGTGAGGACTAAGATGGAATGCCTCCTTTCCAGTAAAAAGGGCCTCCGGCCACCTGCACTCACCAAGCGAAACGCAGAGGTAAACCTCTACTTCACGCTGGTTTTCTGTGAGATCGTGGTACCACCCCGGTTTGAGCCGGCCCATCCGTGCGACAGCAAAAGCTGCCGCGTGGCTCTACCACTGTTTAAACTTGGTTGTATTGGTGATTTTAATGATAATAATTCTGTAAACACAATCGCTACGGTCGCGAATCATATTTTGTTAAATATACAACCTAACCCTGACCTGCAAATTGCAAAAAAAACGCAAGAAAATTTGAATTTCGCGGGCCACCCTGGAGCTTCCACCTTAAGAATTATAACTAGTCAAAGTTTCTTAATTTTGTCACTCACTGACTGACCGATCATCAAAACTCTAAGGCACTTCTAGCAGACATAGAAGCTTCAAATTTAGAATACAATTAGAATTTAGTGTATAAATCAAGGAAAAACTAAAATATTTTGCAATAATTTTGGTCCAGTTTTCTAGATACATCAACTGCATAGTTAACTTTGTAATCCCATGTAAATATAGAGGATTACAAAGTTACCTTTGCAGTGAATAAATCATTGTACCTGTATATGTATATTAATGGAATAATAGGTGTAGGTACTTAGATATAAATAATCTACAAAAAAATGAGATGCCGTCAAAAACATAACTTGAAAAAAAAAACCAAGTCTCGCAACTCAGTTCTTCTACCGTAAAAAGTTGTGAGATCCATGTAATACCAAGTTAATTTATTCAGTTCCTACTTAAGGGTCCTTCTGTCTTAAGTTATTACGTAATTAGCTAACCTAACAACATCTTATAGTGACCATATCAATATTAAAAATCTTTTATGTTTTAAATAAATAGATTGACTTGGCAATTGTACTAAACAATCTAATTTAATATAATATGTATTACTTGTGAGATACATTGTGTTTTCATGGCGAGATACACTTGTGAGATACAGTGTGGCGCTGTTAAAGCATTTTTCAGTCATTACATTAGAAGTGTCTTGTTGCGAGAAACCACCACTCTATGCGGATCAGCGGATGTTCCCGAAATATTTTTATCTGCTTAAGCTTGCAGGTTTCCTTATATGATATTATCGAATGTAACGAGAACCTGAAACCCTTTCTACTGGTAAAAACATTTGTGTTAAGGGGTGGCAACATATGCGTATTTTAATTCCTAAACGAGGATAAGTCACTGACATAGTTTATATGTTTATGGAGCCACAGCATCCACTTTACTACTGAGGTGAACTATGTATCGTTAGTCAGCATTCTATAAAATTGACGCAAGTCAATAAAACGACGTTACCGAACTCTCAACCTTATTTATTTTAAAATACATCGAAGCAAGAAATCCACGTTACATCGAAAAACAAAATGACAACCTTGAAGATAATCACATGTAACTGGGACAATCGCTTATCAACTATTGGACGGAGAATAACAAAATATTGTATTTTCGATCTTAATCTTTTGTGTTATGATCGAGGTATAAGGACACATCGTCGATTTTGGTCAGACGCTTGTAATCGACGCTCTCGCCGCACATTGGACATTTACCTTCATCACGAAGAATTCTATAAAAAAAAAATATTACCTTAAGCACTCAATTTCAAATGTAACATTATTTTATTAAGAGATAAAAAAGAAAATTTACAGATTATATGCGTGCTGTTGGAGTGGCAGGCGGACTTCATATTTCCTCAAAATATTTTTGCTCACGATGTCAATACGGCCCTACCTCGTATTTTTTTTACATGTCGACCAGGGAAGAACTATACCATAACTACACATAGCTGCAGCTATGTGTAGTTCTACCATGGCCAAAGTAACGAATGAATTAGTACGACCAGGGTAGGTCCCCGCTCGGATAGAATACCAGCGTGAAACAGCAGAATAATGCTGTTGTGTTTCGTATGATGATTGCAAAGAACCGAAGACCCTTTTGCGAGTAACGAGGCATTCAATCTTAGTCCTGAGGGTTAACAACGCACCTGCATTTAGATTTTTAATCGATGGTAGATGGTCCGCTTAAAATCAGGTGGACTAAGTGCTCGTTTGCCACACTTACATTTTTTTTCATATACGAGGGCGGAACTGAAAATTTTGGGAATCAAGGAAGTGACACAACATTACTATTTAAAAATGTATTTATTGCTTTTCGAAGTATTCTCCGCGAAATTTGACACATTTTTCCATACGATGGAACCAATCATTGAAGCAACCATTCCATTCGAAAGTTGGGGTCTCCAAAATGGCTGTTTTGTAGGCGTCCACAGCTTCTTCAGGTGATGAAAATCTCTGTCCACGCAATTTATTCTTTATTTTAGGGAAAGTATAGAAATCATTAGGGCTTAGGTCGGGGCTGTACGGCGGATGGTCTAATAATTCTATGTTTTCTTGCTCTAAAAACTTTTGTTCTGTGTGCGGTGTGAGAACTCGCATTGTCGTGATGGAGGATGATGCGGCGGTTGCAGTTCTCTTTACGGAGTTCAGAAACGAAACATGGCAAACAAATGCTAGCATACCATTCTGCATTAACCGTTCTTTGTCCCTCAAGAGGAATATTCATAACATGGCCGGTTTTGGAGACAAACGTGGCCACCAGTTTTTTTGCAACACTCCGTGAACGAACAATTTTTGTTGGCTTAAACTCATTTTCGAACACCCAAACTCGTGACTGGTTTTTTGTTTCGGGTTCGTATGCGTATATCCAGGATCGTCACCTGATACGATGTTGTATACAGCATTTTAGGATCCTGCGTGGAATCTTTCGAGAGTTCTGACGCACCAAGTAACGCGAGACGCTTTTTGCTCTTCACAGAGCGAATGCGGTATCCATCGGAAAAACAACTTTTTTACACCTAATTGTTCATGCAAGATTATTTGTATTTGACTCATGCCAATGTCTAAAGTTGCCTGAATTTCGCGGTATGTCACATGTCGATCTTCCTCAATCAGCTTACGCACAGCATCAACGTTTTCTTGGGTGACTGCAGTTTTTGGACGACGTTGACGGGGATCATCACTGAGCTTGACACGTCCACGTTGAAATTCAGCAAACCAGCGATAAATTGTGGTTTTGGATGGGACTTCATCACCAAATGCAGAAATTATCCGGTCAACACACTGTTTTTGTGTTAAACCACTTCGAAAGTCATAATAAATCATCGCTCTTGAATTTTCTCGAGTCAATTCCATTTTCTCAACGACTAAACAAGTTTGACAAAACCTTGTGACAAGACCGAGAATCTTTTTTTAAATAAATAAATGGTATTCGATTTTTAAAACAAAGGAGTTTTCAATTAAAATATGACAGGAACAATGGAAATATTCCATTCCCGATACTTTTAGTGCAGCCTATGTATCATTATTATTATTAGAATAAAAAATATGACATGTAGTGGCGGCCTAAAATAATCCACTACCCAAATTTATTTCATGTAGTTCTCACAAGAGGCGACAAGAAAATTGAAACTGGTTGTCAATTCGCCTTTCGTAGCAACTGGCCAATATTTATGAGGGAGGCCTATGTTCAGTATTGAACTTTTAGTGGGTTGTAATGAATAATTAAATTAATTATTAGGACTTATTTGTTAACTAATTTTATTTTCTACTGAAGAAAAATTATTAAAAGCAGCTTACTCGACGAATTCTGAGTATATCGCAGGGAAATCGCACTCTGGACACGCCGTTAAATCTCCCTTCACTATGTGCATACCCTGAAAAACATTAATTACTAATTTAATGTAATTTTATTAAATCGTATTAAATTCGTATTAATTATTTACATCGTATCGTGGTCGTTATAAGAAGCAACAAAGGGAAACAGACCAGAACATGGGCAGCGGCATCTTTCAACTAAAAAATACTGCGTTTTCCAACTTGCCTGCCAAGTGTTGACAACTATGGAGAACACGAAGCAGTCTATGGGGGAGGCCTATGTTCAGCACTCTAGGCTGTCACGGTAACGGTACACTTAACAGCAATAACCATTTCATATAGAAAATTTAAACTCGTTTAAATTTTATATACAATTACATTCACCATCATCATCAGTCCTGTGGCAGTACACTGGACGTACAAGCATTTCTCAAGGCGTGCCACTTAGCCCGATATTTGGCCACAAGCTCTCGTCGCTCTATAAACCAGGATGCGTCAATCGTTACGTTTGCCACTGCGCGATCTACAATCGTGCTACACGCGTACTTTTACATAGGTTTGTAAAAATGAAATGTCATGTCGGTCCCTTGGTTCTCCGTCAATATCTTCATTTCATGAGAGGCAGAAGGGCAAGTCGGCGTGTGTGTGAGGTACCATGGCGAGGAAGTGCAGGTCGACCTCTCAGTGTGTGCGTGTGTGTGTACTGTGTGCGTGCATGCGTGTGCGTGCATGTGTATGTGTGTGTGTGTGTGTTGCGTGTGTATATGCGGTACCGTGGCGAGGCAGAAGGGCAGGTCGGCCTCGCAGTGCGAGCAGCGCAGCTGTGCGAGCGGCAGCGCGGCGCCGCACTGCGCGCACGGCGCCGCCGGCTCTGGCGCGGCGGTGTCGCGCGGCAAGTGACGCACTGCCGACTCGATCTTCTTCACATATTTAGGGTCTATCTACAGCGTGCAAACAATCAAAGCAATATATTATTATTCTTATAAACTGAACGTCGCCTTTCATCTTTGATCTTATCAGAGAACATTTTCATCTGATAAGTATACGAGATTTCTACAACTGCAACGTTCCAGTAGTAGACAAATCTTTCGGTGACCATGTTTTTTTTTGTACTTCTTGTACTTACTACACTCTAACGACACACATAAAACAAAATAAGGTAATGATTTATCTTTCGCCGTCACCAGCCATCACACGGCAATCTTACCAAAGCAGTAACAGTCTACTACTGGTCACGGACCTTACCTATAGTGAGTAAGATATCATCATCAGTCCGTTTGACAAACGGATAAGTGGATATTACACGTCTAATGCAAGAAATGGAATACCACTATCTACCGTAGTCATCTTTTACGACACCCACGGAGAAAAAAAGAGTGATGGGTTCTCATAGACTACCTACACATGGCAGTCTTATATTTATTGTTTTAATATATCTTTACTTCTTCTTTATTCAATACACGTTACAATCCATCTGCTCGACATCTGCCTCACAACTTCTTAAAGCGCTAATGTTATCCAAATAGTTGATTCACCTGCAAGCAACGCGTTAGCTGTGGCAAGCGACGAGTGGTGATATCCATTAGAAAATGCAGAACCCAAGTCCCGTAGAGTGGTTATGAGCAAATTAATTGCTTGTTCCCTAGCGGGCAGTATTTTCGGTGCATAAGTACCGGAGACGGTTTCATAAACCGGCTTCGACGTCGTGGTGTGTATAGAATTTTTTTTTCACTCGAATTTTTGATTTATAATCATTCGCGAAAGACTGATAAAGAAAGAAAAAAGAATTCACGATTGATATCTTTATATTATGAATATGAATGACATATTCACAATATAAAGATATCACGAGTACCTGCGAACGATATTCGGGCTGCATTAGCACTTTGGCCCAATGGTGTGCTTGGTGCTTCAAGCCGGCGCGACTGCACTCGATCACCGTCGATGTCAGGATTGATACTTGATCTGTTTAAAGTTTAGGTTTACATGTTTACATTTTTAAATTCACTGTTTTAATCTAGGGCTCAAACTAAAACAGTAGTTGCGCTGCTATTTAGAAACGCAAAAAGGTTTTTTTTTCCTTTTGTTGGTGGGTGATGAGATACCTATCCACTATCAAAACAGAAAATGACCCCCACCACCTTGTATGTACATATACTACTGAGTCTAGGTCTTATTCTTATCTGGGTCTTATTAGTCGACAAGATAAATTCACAAGAATTAATCAAAATTTTTAATACATCGACTGATCAGGCTGTACATGATGCAGAGTGGTGTGTGAGCATATAACAAACTACGAGCAGCTCAGATTTTTTTTTAATAATTTAAATGACAAGCAGCTGCCAAAGCTAGTCAACTCTAAAGACTAAGATGAAACTGTTTTCGCATTTCAAACACACTGGAACACAATGAACAATAGAAAGCATCTACGAAATAAATGATAAGTGACACCACCTAGACAATCTCCTAGCAGAAAAGAAGCCCTATCTATCACCTAGTAAAAGTAATTATCCAGGAGCATTTCAACTTACGTTGTTGTGTAGGGAAGAACGAGACCTCAGCGGCGGTACGAAGAAGTAAACGGGCCGCGAGATCGTGCCGACCCCGTTTTACGTGCATTCTCACCTGTTGTATATTTTTTTGCAAATTATTTTACTGAATCCCGTTCTTACTTAAAGCTAGATACAAATTACCAATTTGTAAAAATTATATGTTCAATTTATTAAATCTGCTGTCAACCAAAATTGACAAAAATAAACAACTTAAATAAAACAAAAGAACAACGGTTGTAAAAACAATACAATCTGAACAAAAAAATACAATGAAATATTATGTAACGTCAAAGTGAGTAGTATTTTAATACAATATTAAAAATATTTTTGTAATATTTTTTTACAAACACTATCTAGTGATATCAGATACTCGACTTTACAGTTACAGAGTAGTAATTTATTCATGGGGCTATGCTCCGACCTTCAGAACATGTTATATAATATATTATGTCTATTATACGAATAAATAATGTGTGCAAGTAATAAATTTAAAAGACCGTGTAGGAAGGATTATTATAATAGCATAAAGAAATTCGCCAGAAAATAATACATTCTTGGGTATTCTATGGATGTGACAATAGCAAATAGTACTGTGTAGTAGCGGTGTAAGAATATCCACTACCCCATATCATCCCATGGGAGTCGTAAGAGGCACGGAATATAAAAAACAAAAGGAAGCCCAGCGTCACAAATAGGCACAGTAAAACCTAATTGGCTGTCAGTCACAGGCTCAAATTGTCGCGAGTTAACGGATCGCACAAAATATGCCGTTTTGTGAAATATTGGAGTATAAAACCGAAAGCAAAAAGAAAAAATCCTTCGAATAGAGGTGTTTCGTACCAAAGGCACGTATAATTTTTTTCGTTTTTGCATAGAAACGTGAATAAACTGACAAAATATCAATTGGCCTTTATTACAAGTAATATTCAACCTTATTTCTTAGCGACTTCAGGACTTATGGCATCAGTAATATTGTTAGGTTCTGGTGTAACTATTAAAGGTTCTCCTACTAAAAAGTGACTTCGAGTTAATGGAGAGGTATGGTTTGGATCATCACTGAGACTGCTAATTGGACGTGAGTTTAGATCCGCTTCGATCTGACAAAGAGCCGTAAAAAATTCTTCGAAGGTAAGAAGGTTGCCAATTGTCTTCATCAGATGTGCCTTAACAAATTTCACGCCCTATTCCCATAGACCTCCAAAATTTGGTGATTATGGGGGAATGTGCCATGAGGTTCCATCACTTTCAAGCATTTCTGCTATCTCCTTTAATACGTTCGTCATGCTTTGATTAAGCATTCTTGTAAGATCATTTGCAGCGCCAACAAAGTTCAAAGCATTGTCACTCCACATTTCAGCGCAGTGACCCCTACGTGACACAAATCGTCGAAATGCTGCAATGAATCCAAGTGTGGTAAGGTCACTTACAGCTTCTAAGTGTATAGCCTTTGTTTTCATACATACTGTTACGCGCCACTATTAATGTCTTGTACATGGCAACACTAGTTACACTAGCGCCCCCTAGTGTCGAGTAAATGAAAGTATTGCGCGCCACTATTAATGTCTTGTACATGGCAACACTAGTCACACTAGCGCCCTCTAGTGTCGAGTAGCAGAACTAGGAGAGTCGAGATCCTTCCAGAAATTTCGGGACCGATATGTACTCGAACATTCTAGATGTCGCTACAGTAGAAGGTTCTGGAAACTATCTGCGGCCCTATATAAGGCCGGTATAGACCACGACCGGGGCAGTATTGAATTGGCGATACAAGAGAATACTTCGAAGCAAAATAACGGCGAACTGTGTTTTATTATTAGTGTGTTTTTAGATTGTAGTTAGTATCCGTAATTAAAGTGTCAATTTTGGTAATTTAATCGGCAGTTTTTAATTGTCTCGAACCCCAAGTTCGTAACAATTGGTGTCAGAAGTGGGATCAAATATGCCGATTTTACCTAAAGACGACACGGAGGGTATCCGTACCCGAAGTCAACGCCAACAGGAGACGGACCAGAGACGATTTGGTAATGCAACGCCGCAAACGTCGGAGGGCCAGTTGCTAACCACGGAGGCTGGCCCGTCAGCAGCTCCTGCATCTGCAGCACCTGACTTAGGTGCTCTGATGATGATGCTGCAGGATCAGGCTCGCCGACAGGAGGAACAGGCCCGCCGACAGGAGGAACAGGCCCGCCGACAGGAGGAACAGACCCGTCGGCTGGAAGAGCAGCTGCAGCGCGGTATGGAAGAACAGATGCTCCTCAGGAAGGACCTTCACGCTACCTTCGGGAAAGAGATAAAGGAGGTGAAGGATAGGGTTGCTCAACATGACAACCGCCTGTCGGAAGCTGAAACCCGAATCGACCAAGTGAACAATCGGGTTGACAACGTGATGGCTGATGTGAAGAAAACGCTGGACGACCTCAAACTTGGGGATGGAGTTACAGCTCCCGTGGTAGCTACAACACCTTCGCTACGTGGATTCAAAGTGCCGCCGTTCGACGGGACTTCTTCCTGGTCGGCCTATAAAATCCAGTTCGAGGCTGTCATGAAAGCGAACGGCTGGAATAAAAGTCAGGCCATGACTGCTCTCACCCTAGGCCTGCGCGACCAGGCATTAACTGTTCTGGAAGCTCTCGGTAAGGAAGTGACTTACGAGCAGCTCCTTGAGGCATTGGAGGCGAGATATGGCGACGCTCACCTGGAACACGTCTTTCGTGCGCAGCTCAAAGATCGCGTGCAACGCAGTAACGAAAACCTGCAGCAGTGGGCCCTTGAGGTGGAGAAGCTGGTTCGAAAAGCGTACCAGTCTGTACCTGCGCTTATTGTAGGGAACCTGGTGCAGACATTCATCGACGGCATCCGTGACCTTGAAGTCAGAGCTGCTGTGAGGCTCGGGCACCACGAGACGCTTAAGGACGCCTTGACCCATGCACTGGAGGTGGAAGCCGTGCGGCAGGATCATCGTTCCCACCACGTCAGGGAGGTTGCAACAGCTAAAGTTCAGGACCGCAATAAAAGCTACAGCCCTAGGTGCTACGGCTGTGGAGAAAGGGGCCATCTTCGATCCAGCTGCCCTAAGCGAACTGTAGGAAGGGAAGGTGATCGATCTCGAGAGGGTAGTGCGGATAATAGCACCGCCCAGCAGCAGCAGGGAAACTGGCGGGTGCTGGCTGATGTTAAAAGAGCCCCAAGGATTTCGATCTCACAAACTCATGATGGGAACAGCCTAATCATCAAGGGCGAAGTCAACGGAACGCCATGTAAACTGACCATAGACACTGGAGCCTCTCGCACGGTTGTCAGTTCCCAACTTATAAGTCGGTTCCTTGGTGACTCCGCATACAACCGAGAACGCATTAATTTGGTGACAGCCACTGGTCAGCGCATACTCGTCCGTGGAGAGAAGGAGATGGAGTTGAAGCTAGGCAACATGATCTACCTGCATAATGTCATCGTGGCTGATATAATGGACGACTGCATCCTGGGCCTAGACTTTATGAGGAAGAATTGTTGTGAGATCGACGTTAAGCAAGGTGTTTTGAAATGTGGACAAGAAGAACTTTTCATGGAAGGGGCGTTACCAGGGAATGTGTACAGCCTTAAGAAGATTGTTCTTCCGCCGAAATCGGAAACGATTGTGCCGGTTAGTCTTCCTCGGAGTCCTGGGCAAGCTCATCGTTGTGTACTCGTGGAAAGGGTAGACAATGACCTTCCATGGAAAGTGGCTCGAACCTTGGTCAGAACCACCGACATCTCAGGAGTACGTGTGTTGAACCTTTGTGATCAGGAACAGATTATAGAAAAAGGCACATTGGTTGGTACTAGTGAGGAAGTGGATTGGTTGCGTCGGTGCGAATATCTATCGAGCGGGACCCCTAGCAAGGATGGACAAACGAGAGTGACCACACTTTTAGAAGACTGTCGCAGCGTTCTCTCCCCGAATGAAATGGTCAAAGCGAAGAAGTTGTTACTCAAGTACGCCAATGTTTTCTCGTCAAACGAAGCTGACATAGGAAAGACTGGCTTAGTTCAACACAAAATAAACACAGGACAAGAATTGCCTATTCGTCAGCGGCCAAGAAGATTGCCTGTAGCACGTGAAAAGGAAGTGGAAACCATGATTGAGGGAATGGTGAAGGATGGTGTTATTGAACCTTCATCTAGTCCATGGTGTTCACCTGTGGTGCTGGTAAAGAAGAAGGACGGCAGCATGCGGTTTTGTGTTGACTACCGCCGCCTGAACGACGTTACGAAGAAGGACAGCTATCCCTTGCCTAGAATTGATGACACGCTGGACATGCTCACAGGCGTAAAGTGGTTTAGTACGCTGGACCTGAAAAGTGGTTACTGGCAGGTTGAAATTGACCCTAAGGACAAGGAGAAAACTGCATTTTCCACAGGAAAGGGTCTGTGGCAATTTAAAGTTATGCCGTTTGGATTGTGCAATGCTCCAGCAACGTTTGAAAGATTGATGGAACTTGTACTTACCGGGCTAATTGGAGATGCCTGTCTGGTCTATTTGGATGACATCATCATCGTAGGCCGTACGTTTGAGGAACACCTTCAAAACCTGGAACGCGTGCTCATGAAGATCCAGAGTGCCAACCTCAAGTTGAGTCCAAAGAAGTGCTCACTATTCAAACGGCAAGTTAGTTCTTTGGGGTATGTAGTGTCGGAAGAAGGTATCCGCACGGATCCAGAGAAAATTGCTGCTGTCAAGGAGTGGCCGGTCCCAAAAGACAAGACACAGGTTAGAGCATTTTTGGGTTTGTGCTCTTATTATCGGCGATTTGTGAAGAACTTTGTAGATATAGCCAAACCTCTGCACAAGCTAACCGAGGAGAAGCGACAATTCTGCTGGGATGAAAGTTGCGATATTGCATTCCAGGAGCTCAAGAACCGCCTGTGCAAAACACCTATTTTGGGGTACCCTGATGCGGGCAAGGAATTCATAGTTGACACAGACGCAAGTGATATAGGACTTGGCGGTGTGTTGTCTCAACGGAATGGTCATCAAGAGATTGTGTTAGCGTACTTCAGCAAGTCGTTGTCAAAGCCGGAAAGGAACTATTGTGTCACAAGACGGGAATTGCTTGCTGTGGTAAAGTCCTTGCAGCATTTTAGCAAATATCTTCTAGGGCGGAAATTCCACTTACGAACTGACCATGCTGCACTGAAATGGCTATTGCAGTTCAAAAATCCGGATGGACAAGTTGCGAGATGGATAAAACTACTGCAGGAATACGACTTTGTGATCGAACATCGCAGCGGGAAATCTCATGGCAATGCAGATGCATTGTCAAGAAGACCTTGCCCTGAAGATTGCAAGCATTGTACTAGGCAAGAGGGTAAGGAAGTGGTATCTGTGAGAATGCTCAGGACAGACCAGCTCAGCAATGAGTGGAAGGACAGCCTACAGCATGCACAGCAGGAAGATTCGGACATTAAGCCGATTCTGGAATGGATGAAGGCCAGTGCTCCTAAGCCCAAGTGGAGCGACGTCTCAGCAATGAGTTCGACCACAAAAAGCTATTGGGCCCAATGGGACAGCTTGCTGATTCAGGATGGAGTCCTGTGCCGTAAATGGGAAAATGGTCGGGGAGACAGGTGTCATTTGCAAATGGTTGTCCCTAAGGCTAAAGTGCCGGATATTCTACAGCTGTACCATAGTGGTTGTTCAGGAGGCCACCTGGGAGTTAAACGAACTCTCCTGAAGATCCGAGAACGGTTTTACTGGGTCCACTGTCGTGACGATGTCCAGGACTGGTGCCGCAAATGTACAAGTTGTGCGGCTGTAAAGGGACCTCAAATTCGTAGTAGGGGCGCATTGAAATTGTACAATGTTGGTGCACCATGGGAGAGGATAGCCATTGACGTTGCGGGGCCGTTTCCAGAAACTGAAAGTGGTAACAAGTATTTCATGGTCGTGATGGATTACTTCACTAAGTGGCCAGAAGTCTTCGCCATTCCAAATCAAGAAGCTTCAACCGTAGCAGATAAACTAGTTCATGAAGTCTTCTGTCGTTTTGGAGTACCTTTAGAGATTCACAGCGATCAAGGAAGGAATTTTGAGTCTCAAATATTCCAGGAAACTTGCCGAGTTATGGGTACTCAGAAAACACGAACAACTTCTTACCACCCACAATCTGATGGAATGGTAGAAAGATTTAATCAGACATTGGAGAGGTACCTAGCAAAAGTTGTGGAAAAACGACAACGAGACTGGGATAGGCACATACAACCGTTTTTGTTGTCATATCGAAGCGCTGTTCACGAAAGTACATCAGTGACACCAGCTTACGTAAACTTTGGGAGAGAATTGCGGCTGCCTGCAGACCTGATCACCGGAATACCACCTGATGCCCCACGCAGTATAACCGATTATGCAAATGACTTGCGGAACAAAATGAATGACATTTATGAGCACGTCAGACAGACGGGCCAGCAAACGTCTGAGAAGATGAAAACACGGTATGACCGCAAAATGAACAACAAGGGGTTTGATGAAGGTTCTCTAGTGTGGTTACACAATCCAGTTCGCAGCAAAGGGAAATCTCCTAAGCTTCAAGCTAAATGGGACGGACCGTACCGGATTGTGACAAGGATCAATGACGTAACCTACCGGATACAGAAAGGTGCCAGAGGTACTCCTAAGATTGTCCATGTGGATCGACTGGCGCGTTATTATGGGGCCAATAATGCTCGGGACGAGCATGTCTTAGGAGGGGGCAGTGTTACGCGCCACTATTAATGTCTTGTACATGGCAACACTAGTTACACTAGCGCCCCCTAGTGTCGAGTAAATGAAAGTATTGCGCGCCACTATTAATGTCTTGTACATGGCAACACTAGTCACACTAGCGCCCTCTAGTGTCGAGTAGCAGAACTAGGAGAGTCGAGATCCTTCCAGAAATTTCGGGACCGATATGTACTCGAACATTCTAGATGTCGCTACAGTAGAAGGTTCTGGAAACTATCTGCGGCCCTATATAAGGCCGGTATAGACCACGACCGGGGCAGTATTGAATTGGCGATACAAGAGAATACTTCGAAGCGAAATAACGGCGAACTGTGTTTTATTATTAGTGTGTTTTTAGATTGTAATTAGTATCCGTAATTAAAGTGTCAATTTTGGTAATTTAATCGGCAGTTTTTAATTGTCTCGAACCCCAAGTTCGTAACAATACAAACAATGAGATGTATCCTTTGTAAGATTTTTGTCTCCTACCCTTTGACACTTTCATCTGTATAGGTCCGGCAAAATCTACATCACAGCACTCAAAAGCTCTTCCAAGGATTACTCTTACACTCGGAAGTTCACCCATAATTGGTTGTTGCGTTCTGGCATTGTATCTAGTGCATGTAACGCATTTACTGAGGTATTTTTTCACTGACTGTTTTAAACCTATTATCCAATATTTGCTTTTTAGGTAGATGATTGTTAAAGAAGTTCCTCCGTGCATTATATGCACCTCTAATCAACAAATATCCCAGGTGAGTAGTATTTTTGGAATAATTATTGGGTGTTTATAATCTTTTGCTATATAAGCTGATTGTAATCTCCCACCAACTCGTAACAAATCTTTGTCATCTACTTTCTATGTTATTATGTTATGTTATGTTTCTTATGTTTTCTATGTTTTTATGTTCTTTTAACTGTTCCCTTTGCTTTCAGCTCTTCAAGTTCTTCAGAAAATTCGATGTCTTGAGTAGTTTTAATACATGCGTCGAGAGTTGTCTTCATTTCTTCCGCGGTAAGGTAAGTAGACATTTTATTTCTATTTTTTTTTATTTTCTTTTAGGTTTAGGAATCACCTGCAATAGGTAAGTACTCGTATCATTTTCTTGAAACTTGAGAATCTATTTAGTATTGATTCTTCTGTCTTGTTGTGAAATACTTTTGTGTTGTTTTCTTTCTTCGTTCGTTGTAAGAGTTGACAAAGGGAAAGTTAAACAGGAGATGGGCTGTAGCATCTTCTTGATAACAACTCAAAATAATAAGGAATTGCGGATGGCAACCTGCCGGTGAAGCGTGGCAACTATGGGAAAATCCCTCCCATAAGGCAATCTATGGTAGGGATGAGCGATTTTGAAAAAAAAAACAATCGACTGAATCGAAAATTGTGCTATTGCGCATTCGATTGTCGATTTAGTAGTTTCTCACCATGATTATTCGAATAACAATCGACAAACTACTAATTGTACGCACATCGCACACTGCAATTCGCCGCTATGTAATGCATGCGAGTGTGCGTTGTGCGCTGTACGTCGCGTCGATGCAACGACGAGTGCTTATGCGTGCGGTGGACGGAGACAGGCCGCGCGGGGCGGTGCGCGCGGGACAGTGTTGAATGCGTCGATTGTTTTTAAGTATTATATATTATATAATACATATTTTAATTTGTTTACTTTAGTTGGTTATTAAATTTTTTAGAGAAAGGTCACGTGCGGTTTATGAATGACCGGCTTGAGGAGATGCCTAAAAATCATAATATAATGTAAATATTGAATTAATAAACTTTTAAATACGCTTAGCTTAATAAGACTTTTTAATACTACAGTCCTGTATTTATTAAAGTATGAAGAAATGTTTATTGAATTAAAATAACATGCGTAAATTTTTAAGCAATAAAATTAACTTCAAGAATTTAAAAATAAAAATTCAATACAAAAGTAAGTAAACTTTTAACACATAAATAAATTTAACCATTAACGCCATGTCTAGAATGGATGTTCCCTCAACCGATGATTTGATTACAATACAAAACAGACTATTTATTAATCTATTGGCGCCAATCGTATACCTAATAACTGCAGTCGTAACGTAAGTTATGGCGCACAGCCTTAGCGCAAGCGCACCGCACGCCCGCCTCACCATCTTTGGTAACAACTTATTTAGTAGTGCGCATAATGTGTGCACTGCGCTACAAATTAGTATGACACGGTAACCGTGTCAGTCATTGTCGCGCGCCGCGCGCCGTCGATAACAATCGACTAACATGGATTGTTATCGAATTTTATCGACTAAACTGAACAATCGACTAATTCGATTGGTTTTAGTAATAATCGCCCATCGTTAATCTATGGGGTTCAGCGGCAGAATTGAATGGATAGGCTCTAATGGATCATGGATGGATGGATAAATTAAAGCTAAAAATAAATATGTGCGAGTGCAGAGCGCCAGGAGGCGCGGTACGCACCAGTATGTAGGAGTGCAGCAGCGCGGCGGCGCGGCGCAGGTCGCGCGGCACGGGCGCCGCGCGCGCCCGCAGCGCCGCGCACACGCCGCGCGCCACGTCGCGCGCCTCGCGGTACCGCCCCGCGCGGCACTCAGCGTTGCCTATTATCACCTGCGACCACCACACCCACCCTTCACCAACTGACGGACACTACACTATTCATATTAATGCTAGACCCTGTTTCAGGGGACTATGTTGTCTTGTGCTCCAGCCTAGAGAACCAAGTAATAACTTCTTCCACTTGACTACATCCAAGAAAAGCAGCCAAACTCGTCGACTGATTTCTTTCCAATCAGCTGGATCCTTGAGTTTTCGCCTTGAGAAAGGACGTTGTAACTTTTTGCATTGATAAGTTGGAGTGGTAACTGCTATATAAATGCTAAACGTGAAATTAATTGCAACCGTCAAAGTTTCACCATCGCAAAGTATGTATTATATACTCAATACCTTCCACACCGCTAACTAATAAGAAGTGCTAGCGCAGTCCACACATGCATGGTGATCCAGCACCATAAAATGTTCCATAAGTTTTCTACTTCGCACGACTACTTTGTGGAAACTGCTATCACCAGCGAGTTTTCGGACCGATAACACTTTGGGACTCAAGCGATTCGTCTGGTGTTGCAGATATTATTCAGCAACGGTGGTCAATAACCATTGGGTGTGCCGCATGCTCGTTTAACCTTTCTTCTATAAAAAATATCTTCTCACGGCCTGCGAAGAGCGAACGAGTTGAGGTATATACTGATACACGAATAATGGATAACTGCATGTCTTTAATGCTGTCCAATATACAGTGTTTATTCGCTACATAATATTACAAGCTAATAGGTATATAATAATATTCCATGTTGACATTAAGATCACCTTTCAGTGTTTTGGTCTACATACCAACGCCTTATATGGATTTACAATAGATAGGAGTCTAATTACATATCTAGTATCCTTTTCTTATGTTTCTCGTTTTAGATCTCATATTTCATTAAGATACCTTACTCATACTATGTTTCTATATATTTCTTTATGCATTATTTCTATATAGGTATACTATCACTTCAGCCCACCGGCAGCTATTAAATAATTTAATGCAATTTTTAACTCTTTAATTCCCAGTGTCACCTGTAGGTGACAGATGTTGAACATTTTTTTCTAACATAAGATAATATTTTTTTGTGTCTTACCACTATTAATACAAAAATTTAGAAATTAGTTATTAAATTTATTGTTATTTTATTTCAACTCTAACTAAACATCATTTGTCAAATTCATTCAGTTCATTCGCGCGTATTTGAAGTTTTCTAAATGTGATTTCTTGCAATATAAATAAATATATATAATATTAATGCAATTTAAAATAAAAATAACATATATGTACTTTACTCATCGCAACGCTCAAAATATGACGTGTCACCTGTGGGTGACACTGAGCATTATTTATTATCACAACTATTGGTTTCTTTCGGACTGCTTTGTAGGAATAAATGTTGTTTTGGAGCATGTTTACGTTTTACTGGTTGATCTTAGATGAGTTTGGAGCCGAGGAGGACCCAGGGAATATTATTTTATTTCCTCCTGATGACGGTACTGATAAAGACAGTGGTGATGAAAACGAGGCTAATATTCTTTTTATTCCTAGTTATATGCTTCGGTCTCAAATAGAACGACGAAGTAGGCCTTCTGGCTCTGAGAAAAATTGTGTGAATTACCAGGAAGTAAGAAAGAAGGAAAAAAATATAAAAAAAGAAATACTATAAAAAGATGGTTCACCAACGCTCTTTTTACTACTTGTGGTAAAGAAGACTATTTTTTTTTTTTTTTTTTTTTTTTTTATAGGAGAGGGGGCAAACGAGCATGCGGCTCACCTGATGGTAAGTGACTACCGCCGCCCATGAACAACCGCAACACCAGGGGAATTGCAGATGCGTTGCCGGCCTTTTAAAAAGGAGTAGGCTCTTTTCTTGAAGGTCCCTAAGTCGTATCGGTCCGGAAAAATCCCTGGTGGTAAACTATTCCACAAGGAAGTTGTGCGAGGAAGAAAACATCTTCTAAATCGCACAGTGGTGGACCGCCAATCATCCAGATGGTGTGGATGGTATCGGGAGTTCTGCCGCGATGTGCGTTCGTGAAATTTGGCGGCTGGGATTAATCCGAACAATTCCTCAGAGCACTCCCCATGGTAGATGCGAAAGAAAATGCAAAGAGATGCAACATCTCTTCGCAGTGCCAATGAATCGAGCCGATCGGAAAGGGCTCGGTCGTCGACGATTCGAGCCGCTCTGCGCTGGATGCGGTCAAGTGGAAGGAGCTGGCACTGGGGAGCCCCTGCCCAGAGATGGGAACAGTATTCCATGTGAGGCCGAACCTGCGCCTTGTAAAGTTGCAGGCGGTGTGCCGGCATGAAATACTGTCCCGCTCTGCTGAGCACGCCAAGCTTTTTAGAGGCCAATTTGGCCTTCTCTTCCAAGTGACCACGAAACTGCACGTCACTCGATATGTCGACTCCGAGGATACCGATACTGGCTGAGGCAAGAAGGGGAGTGCCTTGAAACTGAGGAGATACGACAAAGGGGTTCTTTTTAGCGGTAAACGCGCAAACTTGTGTCTTCTGAGGATTAAACTGGACTAGATTTAGTCGCCCCCAATCCGAGACTTTGTCCAGCAAAGACTCGACTTCAGACACAAGTTTGTTCCGGTACTCGGCGACGTTTTCCCGAGAAATATTGGCCCGGCCGGTGTATAGAGCATCACCAGTGCTGTCATCCGCATAGCAATGAATGTTACCAGTTAGCAACATATCATTGATATGCAGAAGAAACAGCGTTGGTGATAGCACACAGCCTTGTGGAACACCAGCGTTAATAGGCTTGTAGTCAGAACATGCACCGTCTACAACGACCTTGATGCTCCGATCTGCAAGAAAGCTGGTGATCCAATTGCACAATTTCTCGGGAAGCCCATAGGAAGGCAGCTTTGAAAGAAGCGCTTTGTGCCAAACCCGATCAAAGGCCTTCGCAATGTCCAGACTAACGGCCAACGCCTCCCCCTTGGACTCTACTGCCTCCGCCCATCTATGGGTCAGGTAGACCAGAAGATCACCAGCTGATCGACACCGACGAAAACCGTATTGGCGGTCACTAATCAGCTGGTGATCCTCAAGGTACCGGATGAGCTGGCAGTTAATAATGGATTCCATTATTTTGGAGAACAAGGAGGTGATCGCGATAGGCCTATAGTTGGACGGGTCTGAGCGGTCGCCTTTTTTAGGGATCGGGTGGACAAAAGCTGTCTTCCATGAATTCGGGACTACGCCTTGGGAGTAGGAGTACCGGAAAAGACGCGTTAGGACCGGTGCCAACTCCGGAGCACACGTCCTCAGCACAATTGGGGGGATTCCGTCAGGCCCACTCGACTTCTGGATGTCCAGGGAGAGAAGTGCTTTGCGAACTGAGCGCTGTGAGAATAGCACATCCGGCATGGAGCACTCACACCGCGGGATGGTCGGCGGTATTTTCCCCCCGTCATCAAGAGTCGAGTTGGACGCAAAAAGGGAGCCTAAAAGGTCGGCTTTGTCTTTTGCGTCTTGGGCCAGTGAGTCGTCCTCCCTGTGCAGAGATGGTAGTGATGGCTTACAGAAATTCCCTTGGACAGCCTTGGCGAGAGACCAGAATGCACGGGTTCCCGAAGGAAGGCGAACTAGTTTCTCGCCAATTCTGCCTATGTGCTCTGACTTTGCCTTGGCAATAACTCTTTTGAAGGACCTGGAGGCGAAGTTATACTTCTTTTTAAGTGTGCTGGTGTTTACATCCCGAGTCACCGAAGCTGCAGCCCAGGCTTGATAACACTCCTGCTTACTGCGCAATGCAGTCTTACAGGAGCGACCAAACCAAGGCTGAGATCTGCCTCCGATGGGTACCACAGATGATGGAATAAATAGTTCCATTCCCTGTAGCACCACATCAGTGACAGAGTCAGCAACAGCACTGGGATCATCCGGCGAGAAGCAAACCCGCCCCCATGGGTAGGATGCAAAGAAAGACCGCATTCCGTCCCAATCCGCCGACCTGTAATGCCAAACACGGCGGCAACCTGCAGAACGCAACCGCGAAGGGAGCGTGAGTGGCACCATACTCCGGATCAGACAATGGTCCGAAGAGCCGAGAGGGGCATCGACGGAAACCTGATATCCGTCCGGATGAGAGGTCAGCAGAAGGTCCAACAGGGAAGGTGTATGATCCTCCACATCTGGAATCCGCGTAGGCGAAGTAACCAGTTGTGTCAGACCATATGCCAAGGCAAAGTCATAAACAGATCTCCCCGCATGATCGGTTAAACGTGAACCGAGCCATTCGGCATGGTGGGCGTTAAAATCGCCAAGGATCACGATCTCTGCGGATGGGACCTGTTGTAGCAAGGAATCTGTAGCCATTTGGACGTGGTCGATGAGTCGGTCTGTTTCGGCATTACCGCTATGGGACCTATAGAGGCACCCGTAGACGCGCGGATGGTCGTCGCTGTCTACGCGTAGCCAAAGGATGGACAGGTCCGAACCTTCAAGACTGCCGAGGCGTCGAGAACAGATGTCCTCTCTAACATACACGCAAACTCCAGCCCGAGGCACAAAGGAGTGCTCCAATTTGTACCCCGGGTAGGAGAGATACGAAATATCAGTCGGAGAGGAAACCTGCGTCTCGGTCAAAAAGAGCAAGGCCGGCTTCGCCGTCTCGAGATGGTAGTGGACGGCGTTTAGGTTAGAGTGAAGTCCCCTGATGTTGCAGAAATTCACGGATAGCGTGGCAGGGGTCGCCTTGGTATTGTTGCTCAGCTTGCCCCGAGCAGTTTTGTTTTTGAGCGGAATTTTGCCCCCCCCAGAATACGCGGGGCAGCCTGAGCACCCACGCTCAGGATTGGAATAACATGGTCGTGGATGCTCAGCGAGGGATTCTCCAGGGGTACTGGTACCCTCCTGGGGTAGTCTATTGTCTAATTCCGCTACCATGTTGATGGGGGGGGGGGGAATTGGGCCTCCGGCCACCTGCACTCACCAGACGAAACGCAGAAGCAGAGCCTCTACTTCACGCCGGTATTCTGTGAGGTCGTGGTACCAACCCGGCTCGAGCCGGCCCATACGTGCAACAGCAAAAAACTGCTGCAGGGCTCTACCACCGTTAAAACTATAAAGAAAAGGTTTTTATACCCTTACAGGAGGAGAAGACAGCCCACAAGATGCAGTCAAATATGGATCTTGGAGCTGCGGTTATTCTGGAACTCCACTCAATAAAAAATATCAATAAAAGAATCGGAACCGTAAATATTTTTTTATCAGGTTACAATTACTCAAGTATTTGCAAAAACAAAATGTTTAAAATTATTGCAGCTAAATGACCTGACAACAGTATCACCACCGTTGCATCTTACCGCCACGGATTGAGTTTTGTCACAAAAGTTGATCATATTAGAGTTGTAATTAAAAAGCGATCGAAAATTGGAGTGGCTTGCCTAGCTATTATATATATCAGGATGTACAACAAGTATATGGGTGGAGTAAACCATTTTGACGAAAATGTTGACTACATGGTGTTCGTGGAAAAAAGTGGTGGTATCTTGTTTGCTTTTGGTATAGACGTTGCTTGCCAAGATAACTGGGCTGTGACTTTCGCAGAAACGTTGCTACTATCTACCTGCAAACATATGATAAGCCTCCAACCCGTGATTATATCTGTGGAGTTCCAGTCCAGATTAGAGTGCCTGGTGAGGTGAGGTCTGCAGGTATTGCCGACGACCATGTAGAAGTTGTCTATTCGCAGCGGCGATGTGGATATTGTCATCAACGTAAGCGAAAAATGTGCGCCAAGTACAATATCAGTTTGCATCTAAATTCTAGCATATGTTCCATGATAATAAAACGCTTCTTATACGTTAATAAATATTTCTTTTATAAAAACGGATGTTTTATTCCTACCGTAAGAAAGTGAAAAACTTTAACTTTATGAGCTGTTTAAACAATGCCCAGTGCCACCTGTAGGTGACACCCCTATAAAAAGTAAGTGAAAAACAAATTTATATAAAGTAATTTGTAACAAATCATTTACTGTTTCTTACTGCTAACCCGAGTTGCGTGAATTTTAACTCGAGTCGTAATTTTTCGAGTTGGCATATCTATACTACCTATTTCATTTTTGTAATTTATATTTAGGTCAAATAATATATAATTAGATTGTATTTTTGTAATTTATATGAAGAATATACAAGTTTTATATTTATTTTTATAAGTTTTAAAAAAACAAATGTATTCATTTCTATTTTATATTTTTTGTCGGTGGGAGGTGTATTGTAGCCCCCACGACAGTGTAAATTAGTGTTAAGTTAGATTAAGTGGAGCAGTATAATTAGTCTTAAACTGAGCAACACGCCTGCTTTTCATTTAACACCTCCCAACGTTACAACGAGACAAAGGAGAGAATTTAAGATGCAAAGCATCTTTGATCATGAACTGTAATCGCCAATACACTTGCAAGTCAAAGCAATCTATAGTCGCATTTTATATTTACAGTTCGAATAATTGTCTAAGCATGTCAAGAGTAAATAAATTAATACAACATTAAATTAATGATAATCTCACCGCAGTTTTTGCCGCTTCGGTATACTGCCGTTTGGCCATGTACAATCGAAATAAGTGTCGAGGATCCCTCGGAGTTCCATCTGTTTCTCCCAACAAGAACTCTATTAACCTATGAAAAAAAAAACGAACGATTGTCAGAAATCAAAATCTTCTTCACTTGCTCCAATACATCAAATAACAGCAAAAACATTTACTATATAAAGAGAACTTAATTACCTTCTACTTAATCGCTCATCATCACTTGCCGCAGCCGCATCTATAGCGATACTAATTCCTTCATTCTCCTCCTGCTCAGTTCCACCAGTCTTCAATAAATGTGTCATAGCTTTGTTATATTCACCAGCGTGAAAATAGAATTTGCCTGCTAGCAAATGGTTCTTTTCGCCTTCGAAGTGTAGAGCGAGACTTCTGAAGTCCTCCGATCTCGCGTTCGAAGTCTGTATCAATATTTCTCCATACAATTGTAACTTGCCGTTCTTCCGCGCCAGTTGAAACGCTTCATCATAACATAGCGACATCACAAGGAACTTTATTGCCGATGTCGGATCGTCATTATTCTGGAAATAATTAGCCACCATTTTCGCTCCCTGAATTGACTTCGTCTCTTGAACTAGATTGACGGCTTCGTCTATATCGTCTAGTTTCTCCAAATTAAGTCTTATCGCGGCTTCATAATCCTGCGCTTTGAGATACGATTTTAAAGCATCACTGTATCTACCTTCGGCTTCTTTAGCTTTAGCGTATTGTAAGTGAATGCTCGGTGAATTTATTTTTGGTAATAGTGTCTCAACTTTTAACCAAGATTTTAATTTTATGTACAACGAAGCGGCTTTTTCTGTGTTCCCAGCGTGGTCGTATAAGGCGGCAGCGTGGCTGTAATGCTTCTCCTCCTCAAGCAATTGAGCGCATTCCTTCAACAAGTCAATATCGTGTGAATACTTCATAGCTGTGGTGACGCCCCGCATGATGTCCCCACAACGTATAGACGTCCTAGCGATACCTGCTTCGCATTTAGCGTTGTGTTCTTTCACTTTTATATCATCTATATTTTCAGTGATGATGCTCTTTTCATAATTAGCGAGTGCTTCGTGATATTCGGCTCTGTTAACCACAAAAATCCATAATTTTTAACATGATTATTTTGTAAGCACATAATTTCTGATTTTGACTGTTAATACGTTATATTGTAATGTCGTAAGATGCGACATAAAAAAAGTTCAGAAGATCTTGGGCATTCGATAGAGGGTGACATAAACATACGAAATGTTATTTATACAAGATCGGAGAATTGCTCGGAACGGAAACTAAATGTAAAGCGCTAAAATGAAATACTTCTGATCCTGCGATTGCATATGGGCCTACCAATCGTGGTAATTAGCACAAAACTGACCTTCTATAATAGAGCACCATGATATAGTTATCATCATCATTAATGCAGCCCTTCACAAGTTTACTGGTGAACGTAGACCTTAACCAATGAATCAGCCTTGGACTATTCACGTGTGGAATAGAAGAAGGAGAATATTAGGACAGTACAAAATATAGTAAAATGATTACTTTTTAGTCCTGTGTCAAATCAGCTTATCGTCACATTTCTTTTAAATAAAATCTTCTATTACATTATTATAGGCCAAAAGTAACGCAGTGGTAACTCAAGGGCTAAGCGCTCGCCGTAAGTGTCACAGTACGTGACCAACCCGGGTTTCAAATCAATGAAATTGTTAATTCCAATTTTAAGTGCAAATTCACTACGCGCTCGATGGTGAAGGAAACATCGTAAGAAACCTGCATGTCTAATTAAAAAAATAATTCGAAGTCCTGTAAAGTGCATCAATACGCATTGAGTTTTAAATTCCTTGTCCTAAAACCCAGAAGTGTGAAGAAGTGACAGAAGGCCTGTACTCAGCGACGAGACGTATTTATGCAGAAACTTCACTTGTTACTTTGCTGTGGCGCAACAAGTCCCAAGATTTTTGGCTACTTTCCCCTTTTAAACTTTCCAAACCAAAAGATATTTGGTTCCAATCAACTTGTCTGTTATAATATGATGTCTATGCAATTAAAAAAAAATAAAAAATATACTAAGTTTTTGAAAAGATGTGTGTGTTATGGCGTGTCATGTAGGAGCTCGAGTCGGTGAATAATGCAGGGCGGGAAGGTGAGCGTGTGCGCGTGTGAAATATTTTGTTTCACGATGGCAGGTTGGTCTTACTTGTAGTACAAGTGCACGTCTACATTGTTTTAATGTGCGTCAGCTCGATAGTTTAAAATTTCTACCGACTATCGATAGAAGCTAAAAAAAAGAAAAAAAAAACATGTTCGCAGTGATGTAAGAAAATATGTCATGTCCAAAGTAGCAAAATAAGGCTCACCCGCCTCTGGGAGAAAAACCATATATACGTACAAGCTCGCGGCGGGCAGCTGAGCGCGCGTGCGTGCGTGTACGTACGTGAGCTCGAGGTGGTGCGCGCGGTGGCGGTGCAGCGCGGGCGCGCGCGGCGGGCAGGCGGCCTGCGCCAGGCGCGCGGCGCGCTGCCAGTCCCCGCGCGGCGTGCACGTGTACGTACGTGAGCTCGAGGTGGTGCGCGCGGTGGCGGTGCAGCGCGGGCGCGCGCGGCGGGCAGGCGGCCTGCGCCAGGCGCGCGGCGCGCTGCCAGTCCCCGCGCGGCGTGCACGTGTACGTACGTGAGCTCGAGGTGGTGCGCGCGGTGGCGGTGCAGCGCGGGCGCGCGCGGCGGGCAGGCGGCCTGCGCCAGGCGCGCGGCGCGCTGCCAGTCCCCGCGCGGCGTGCACGTGTACGTACGTGAGCTCGAGGTGGTGCGCGCGGTGGCGGTGCAGCGCGGGCGCGCGCGGCGGGCAGGCGGCCTGCGCCAGGCGCGCGGCGCGCTGCCAGTCCCCGCGCGGCGTGCACGTGTACGTACGTGAGCTCGAGGTGGTGCGCGCGGTGGCGGTGCAGCGCGGGCGCGCGCGGCGGGCAGGCGGCCTGCGCCAGGCGCGCGGCGCGCTGCCAGTCCCCGCGCGGCGTGCACGTGTACGTACGTGAGCTCGAGGTGGTGCGCGCGGTGGCGGTGCAGCGCGGGCGCGCGCGGCGGGCAGGCGGCCTGCGCCAGGCGCGCGGCGCGCTGCCAGTCCCCGCGCGGCGTGCACGTGTACGTACGTGAGCTCGAGGTGGTGCGCGCGGTGGCGGTGCAGCGCGGGCGCGCGCGGCGGGCAGGCGGCCTGCGCCAGGCGCGCGGCGCGCTGCCAGTCCCCGCGCGGCGTGCACGTGTACGTACGTGAGCTCGAGGTGGTGCGCGCGGTGGCGGTGCAGCGCGGGCGCGCGCGGCGGGCAGGCGGCCTGCGCCAGGCGCGCGGCGCGCTGCCAGTCCCCGCGCGGCGTGCACGTGTACGTACGTGAGCTCGAGGTGGTGCGCGCGGTGGCGGTGCAGCGCGGGCGCGCGCGGCGGGCAGGCGGCCTGCGCCAGGCGCGCGGCGCGCTGCCAGTCCCCGCGCGGCGTGCACGTGTACGTACGTGAGCTCGAGGTGGTGCGCGCGGTGGCGGTGCAGCGCGGGCGCGCGCGGCGGGCAGGCGGCCTGCGCCAGGCGCGCGGCGCGCTGCCAGTCCCCGCGCGGCGTGCACGTGTACGTACGTGAGCTCGAGGTGGTGCGCGCGGTGGCGGTGCAGCGCGGGCGCGCGCGGCGGGCAGGCGGCCTGCGCCAGGCGCGCGGCGCGCTGCCAGTCCCCGCGCGGCGTGCACGTGTACGTACGTGAGCTCGAGGTGGTGCGCGCGGTGGCGGTGCAGCGCGGGCGCGCGCGGCGGGCAGGCGGCCTGCGCCAGGCGCGCGGCGCGCTGCCAGTCCCCGCGCGGCGTGCACGTGTACGTACGTGAGCTCGAGGTGGTGCGCGCGGTGGCGGTGCAGCGCGGGCGCGCGCGGCGGGCAGGCGGCCTGCGCCAGGCGCGCGGCGCGCTGCCAGTCCCCGCGCGGCGTGCACGTGTACGTACGTGAGCTCGAGGTGGTGCGCGCGGTGGCGGTGCAGCGCGGGCGCGCGCGGCGGGCAGGCGGCCTGCGCCAGGCGCGCGGCGCGCTGCCAGTCCCCGCGCGGCGTGCACGTGTACGTACGTGAGCTCGAGGTGGTGCGCGCGGTGGCGGTGCAGCGCGGGCGCGCGCGGCGGGCAGGCGGCCTGCGCCAGGCGCGCGGCGCGCTGCCAGTCCCCGCACGCGGCGTGAAGGTCAATCGCGCGCGCCGCGCCCCTCGCCCCGCCGCCGCCCTCGAGCCACCGCGCGCCCGCCTCCGACCTGCCCAGGCACGCGCACAGCGTGCCGCTGCCAACAGCCGCCACCACCCGAGCGCGGTTAAGAAAATACGCGGTACTTTGCGTCGTAGAATCGACGAAAAAAAAACAAGCAATATTTTATTTTTCGTAAACCACTTCAAGTAAGCTTATAATGGTTTTATTAGAATTGGTTCACGACAGAAGTCCAAGAAGATGAACGAACAGGTCTTTGCTGCTGTTGCTCTGTATGCCATCAATTGTTATAAATATTTACATACATACAAGGGCAACACTGAAAGTTTTTAGAACTGGCCACTTAGAAAGGATATAATAAAAAAAATATGTTCAAATTTTGCCAATATTATTGTGTATGTATTTTACTTGAATATTTTTAGTTTCTTGAAATAAATTATTATTATTATTATTAATTTGTCATTTGTTTACGATTTGGCGGCAAATTGAAAATTGTCTGTCAGCATGAATTTAACGCGAGAAAATTTTCATACAGTGACTTTTTATGACTTTCGATATCATTTAAGTCAACAAGAAACTTATGATAGACTTCGATTAGCCTTTCATGATGAAGCCCCATCTCGTGCCACTGTTTACAACTGATTTAATGAGTTTAAATGTGGTCACACTAATCTCACCGATGATCTGCGTGAGGGACGGCCTTCTACGGCGACGACAGAAGATAACATCAGTGTTGTGCGGCGTATGATAGAAAATGAGTCAAGTGCACAAAATCCTCCATGAACATTTAGCGGTCAGGAAGCTGAGTGCCCGGTGTATACTGACAGAGGCCGAAAAACTCCGTCGTGTTGATTGGTGTCGTGAAATGGTTCAAAGATTTAACGGAGGTGACTCAAATGCTGTGTTCCACATACTTACGGGTGACGAAAGCTGGATTTATTGTTATGATCCTGAAACTAAGAGACAGTCTGCTGTCTGGGTGTTTCATTCCGAGGAGTTGCCAACTAAAGTGAAGAGAGGTCGAAGCGTGAGAAAAAAGATGGTGGCCACGTTCTTCGGAAGGACAGGTACAATTATATAGTTATAACGCAACAATTGTTTTAGAAGATCGAAAAACAGTTACTGCAAAGTACACTAACAATTGTTTGCCACTTGTCTTGGACCTCGCAGTAGGATCCTCCTTCACCACGACAACGCCTCGTCGCACACCGCCAAGCAAACAATCGACTAGTTGGCGACGTCAGACGTGGAATTACTGGGTCACCCCTGTACTATAGCCCCGACCTCGCACCTTGCGATTTTTATTTATTTCCGGAAATGAAAGAAAATCTTCGAGGAAAACGTTTTATGGACGCCGAGGAAACAGTGGCTGCGTTTCAAAATGCTGTAGAGGAGAACCCTAAGGACGAGTGCTTTTCTCAGTGGTTCCATCGGATGCAGCGATGTATTAATGTAAATGGAAACTATTTTGAAAAGATATAATAAAACTAATAACTTGCTAGTTTGTTCAGTTTTTGATTTTCTAAGAATTTTCAGTGTCACCCTCTTATCACACAAAAAAAAGAATAAAATGGTGAATGATTAAGAGACATCTAAATCGAATATTAATACTTAGTTTGTTATTTTTATTTTTAGTCGTTACTAAGAAGGCGCCGCTGCCCATCTCCTAATTTGTTTCCCTCTGTCGCCTCTTACGACACCCACGGGATGATATAGGGTAAGTGGATATTCTTACAACTCCACTGCACAAGTACTATTTACTTTACTGGAACATAAAAACTTACCACAGAATAGGAAGTTCCTCTATATGTGATGCATCTTCTAGAGCCCAGACCATAGCGACGTCATTGAGTCGTGTGTAAACACGAATTGCTGATTTAAAACAAATGTTCAAAAATTAACACACGTTAATATTGTATCTCTCTCTGACTTGACTGTTCCGTGGGTCTAGTGCTCGCATTCGTAAATTGATCATGATGTCTAGGGTTTGAATCCCGGGGGGAGCAAAAAACTGTTATTGAGTTTTTCTGCCCAGAATTTCTCAGTAGCAGCCCGTAATCAGGAAGTTGGCCGTGTTTCACTTCTGTGCCTCGGAAAGAACGTAAAGCTGTTCGTTCTGCACCTGATCTCTCTCCAGTCCCCCATTGGACTATGAGAGTAAGGGAATAGAGTGCATTGGCCTGGCAGACGTTGTTCTGCCCTTTTTGACGACCCTTCATACAAAAAATCCTTAACTTCGTAATAAAAAAAAATTGAGGGTCATTTAGCGGGATAAAAACTATCCTATCTCTCAAGTTGGACCAAAATACACACAGTGTGCAAAATTCCATTGAATTCAGTTCAGTAGTTTAGGAGTCCATCGCGGACAAACAACGTGACATGTAATTTTTATATATAAAATATTACTTTCATCAAATTAGACCAATATATTATACGTATGTCTGTCCCGATCTTCCCTCTTTTTATAAGGGCCTGTTGTTATGTGGAGGTAAGTGAGACTAGGTAGTAGCAAATTATATGTGTTTTTTAAATCAACTATGTATAATACAAAACTGACAGTATAAATTATGCATCATAAGTTAAGCCTTAGCTTAAATCATCTAGTTTTATCTCATTAAAGGCTTCTCTCAATATCCAAGGTCTTGCCGACCATTATTCATTATTATTTTTAGTTATTTTCAGGAAGATACTGTTGCCTATCTTGTTTTGGTTTCCCTCTGTCGCCTTTTATGACACCCAAGGAATGAAATAGCGTAGTGGAGTCTCTTACACAGGCACAAGGTTGTCTTTATTTACTTCTTACTAGTTATTAAATCTAAATTTATTCTACAACCATTACATCGGCAATGGCCGCTTCGCCCGTGTTCTATTAAAATGGACCTCTTTAGCAATCCTCAACAGTTTAGCATAACATTACAGAATTCAACCTAAGCCCGTTATAAACACATCGACACGGTATAGGGATATTTTAACAACACATGAATTCTAAAAAGTATGTCAATATTTTCTTAAGACATATATTTATGTCTTAAGAACAGGTCTTATATATATATATATATATATATATATATATATATTCAAGAAAACTTTATTTAATAATCTACCATTTACTTTAAATAAGATTTCAGATTTTTATCCAGAGAAAAAAAAACGTAAGAGCGAAAACGGTACATCATGAAAGTTTTATTTTTAAATTTTAAAGTAATGTAAAGTAAAAACCTTTAAAGGGCGGCTATTAATTAAAAGTTAATAATCAATGAAACCACCCATATTGCGCTGGCCATTCTAGGGCCATACATCATATTCGTGCAATCAGGTTGTTACCACCCTGGCCGTATGAGAACGGGCATTATCGTGCATAAGAAGGAAATTTTGACCTGTTTGTGTTCGATGTGGCAAAACTATTAGTTCTAGCACCTCATTACGATATTTTTCAGAGGTCATAGTGCGCTGTATCTTGTACAAAAGCTTGTACGATCAGGAACACTTCAAACACGTACTCTCCTCTAATCAGGATGAAAGCCAAATCGAGATTAATCGGCAAAAAGCACTAACGTCCATTGGTGAGGTTCTCAGTTCACATGTTCTCTAGCCCATTGCAGTCTTCGTCCACGATTTCCTCTTCTTAGAGCTGGAACCCGAAGCGGTCTACGAGCATGAAGGTTGGCTTTGTGAAGTCTCCTCCTTACATTTTGATCACTCACAAGCACTTGGTGTTCAGACTGTAGCCTTCGGACCAACTGCATCGCCGTAAAATTTGGTTGCCTGGCAATTTACAAAAAGCGGTTTTGTCTGGGTGTAGTAATGCGGTTTGGTCCTGGATGGCTTTCCACCACCTGGCACGATTGCGTAGCCAGAACCTCGAAATCACATTTTGCCTGGTGCCTATTGCCACAGCGACGTCACGTTAAAAAGCACCAGCCTGTAGCATTCTCACTGCTATTAACACCTCTTCTCCAGTTAAATATTGACGTTGCATTGCAATAAAAAGTCTTTGAAAAAAATTGCAGTGAAATAAAAAGTAATTATCACAATCAACCAAAGTTGAATCAAAAAGATGATTAAATTGCGATTTTTAACAAAAAAAAAACAATTACTCTAAGTACAAATTTCGCTTCATCTAATGCGACTCAATTTTTACCGCCAACACATTTAATTTTTTCTTTTATTTGAATTTAAAATTAATTTGGAATAAATGACAAACAATTTGATAATTAAAAACATTTTAAAGTGGCCAGTACTTGTTTTGTTGGTCAAAATATCCCTATACCGTGTTGATGTGTTTATTAATAACTCATTCTACTCACCAAACTCCACATTCAGATCCGCGATGGCCGCTTCGCCCATCTTCCTCCACAGGTCGGGTTCGTCGACTGCATCACAAAAGAGCCAGGCCTCGCTGAACCTCCTGAGGAGCAATAGCTTGTCTACGTGTTTTCTCTGGTTTACGAGACGCTTCTCCGTGTCGACATCGGCAAGGCCACTCGTGTTGTGCGATTCGAGCGCCACTTTAGTAACACTGAAATTTAGTTTAGGTGTTAAATGGAAATAATCCGTATGAAGTAAAGGCGTACTGCCAAAATAATAGACCCAAACATAATTTTCCAATGCACAGATAAGTATATGCTTTGAATGTTTTTTGTATAAAATAATATCTTCATATAATATCATAAAAAGTATTAAGCTTATTTATGCCAGAAGAAAAGTCGCGGTAGCTTAGCAACTCGAGTTCAATTCCCGCCGGGGCCACCTAATTTGTTATTTGCAAAAGTTTAAGTGCTGATTTACCACGTTTTTGGTGGTAAAGGAAAACATCATGACTTTAAAATAAAATTCCGTATGTGTAATTACCGAGAAATGAACACCTTTTTACTTGCAACAGGGCATTTCTTCTTAGTCATATAAGATGATAACACATCTGCCTTTTTCAACCGACTTCAAAAAAGGAGGAGGTTCTCAATTCGACTGTATATTTTATGTGTAGTAACTCAGAACTTTTTTCTAGGTGAACCGATTTTGATGATCCTTAAAAATGCGTATTTAATTGACTTCGACTACATTAATGATCTTCTCATTTTATTTATATTGAAGTCGGTTGTACAACTTTTTTTTTAATTTTCCCCCTTGTTATCATTAATCGTGAATAGATGTTTATAGGCCACAGCATCCAATTACTATCAGGTGGACTACGTGCTCATCTGTCATCCTTGCATAAAAACAAAAGATGCATATGCATTAAGTACGTTGCACAAAGTTTATTATATTAATTAGACGTTTACTGACAATAACTGAATTTCGCTAACCAAATAGTTTTTCATCCTCTTATTTGCCTATAATAACAGAGTTTATTTTTTTCTGCTTACAATGCTTCAAATTATATAACACCACATGGCAGCAGGGAGGAGGTACTTCCTCAAACCTCCCTCCAATATTTAGTTGTGTATTCTTACTTGGAAGTAAGAAAAAAAAGAAAATATTAAAATAGTTTGGAAAATCCAAAAGCGCACGCCTCATGAGCGTTCGAATTCATTTTCATGAAGAAATAAATTGTATTCCTGACTTAAAATATATTATTATCGTGTTTTAAATTATTTATTTATTTAGGTCTTTTATTTTAACAGGTAATCTCACCTATAGGGATAAAATTAATATTGTTTACCAAAATAAATAGATTACACAAAGTATAAAATCATATAGGCTCTATGGTACATTTGCCCTTTGTCTATCAAGGGCTAAAGAAAAAGATGAAGGCGCCTTGAAATTTTTAATAGCAATAAAATTTATAAAATCATTTTCTTAACAAACGACGCATACTAGATAGGTAACCAGTTGATGTAATTCTGAAGCTAATAAAAAAAAACGATCTCGGTCAGCTATCGTGACCACATTTAATATCAACATCCGGACGTCCACGTATTTTTTTTACAAATCGTTTTTTATCAGAGTAGCAATATAAAATGATTTTTTTAGAAAACATTAGATGGATCAATTAGAGCATTCTCTTGATATACGGCTACTCATATTATCGTATAAGTGCAATATGGTTATGATAGAGGTATTTTAAGACCACAAAATTGCTTAACCTCAACGTATCGAGAGTAATCCACTACCTAATAACGTTACTAACTAATAACGTTACGAGGCGTGCAAAATATTTTTATATTATTATTGAAAAAAAATTAATCAGCATGTGAATAATAATTTAAAATGTCTAGGTTGTTGCCCAGCAACTTGGAGGTGATTTCACTGTACTCCTTTCTTCCTTTTCTACACGGAGCATGCACAGGACGTTTAGCTTCACGTCTTCCATCGTTGTCCGTCCTAGCGTACTAAATGAACGTTCAACGTTACATGATGTCGCTGAAATAGGCAGTCCAATCTTGATTGCATAGCATGAAGTGAAGTGACTTGAGCAATCAAATCATCAAGCGATTTATTTAAGACCACATCACTTGCTTCAATTGCCCTAAGCAGAAACGCGTTCCAGAAAAGCATACCCTCACAAATTAAATTTACCTATTAACTATAACAATGTTGTAATTATATCTTAATGGCGACCCAACCCGGCTTCGCACGGGTGATTTCTGGATCTGGACAACAGCGCCACCTACTGGGTTCAACTGTGAACCTAAATAATCCAGGGACCCACTCAAACACACACAAAAAATTTAGTCAAAGTAGGTCCAGCCATTTTCGAGGTTTTGCGAGACTAACTGACAGCAATTGATTTTTATATATAGAGATTAGTTACTAGGATCGATGCAGATACACAATACTAACACGCGAAAACTGCATCAGAGATGAGGCCATTTTAATATCATCTTGTATAAAGAAGAAAACCATGCTTTAGATGAAAATAAAGTCATTTTAGTCCTTCTATTTTAAAAAAAATACAACAATAATACTCACGCTCCGCCACTTGCGTAACAATAGGTTTCCCCCGAGAACAATATTAGCGGTATATGATCGGGTAAAATACTGGTAGAAGCCACAAAGTCTACATGTGAACCATCGGTGGAAGTGGCAGCGAAGTAATAGGTTTCGATAGATTCATCCGTATACATCGCGAAAACATTTCTTTCCGATAGGCAGATATCCCAAATCACGCCTCTGAAAGTGTTAATGTAATATACAGACAAATCAAAAAATGTATCAATAAGGGTCACGGGATAAATCAGATCAATACTTCTTATTTATAGACACCTAAAGGGTCACATATTCCGGTCATCCTTCCCGATTTACAGTAATCGCCACGCTTGGTAGGCGGATTGCTGACCGCAATACCAATTTTATTGCCGATGTTATCGGAAGTTAATGGACGGTATAAAGTCAACACAAAGGCCTCCAATTATCCGAAACTAGGCACATGTGGCTGATGTAAGTCCTTGTGTAGAAAGTTCAGAGAATGACTCTGATAGTGCTTGCGGCCAACCACAATACAATTAGAAACGGATATCAACAATTTGTAACTTTGATTAGCTGCGTAGTAGCCAGGTATTCATAAAACAGATGAAGTGTACCCTTACACCTAATAGAATCAGTGTAAATCCCCCCCCCCCCATGTCATCATCAGATAAGATTTTGTAAGCGGGGCATTTTGTTCGTAACGGATGATATCAACGCGATTGATTAACGGTAGCATTATTAGTGCAAAAGTACCGGCACTGCGATCACTAACCTAAGTAATATTTGCCATTCACTATTTCATTCATTACATACTATCAAAAGTCCACTGATAACTGACACAGACTACTGCAAAGCATTCGACAGAATCGATCATTTAATTCTTTTACGTAAACTCCTTGCAATGGGTATCAGGGGGGACTTATTCCGATGGTTTACGTCATACATCAGAAATCGAAGTCAATCTGTCGTCCTTGGTGGATATCGTTCGTCTGCAATCCATATATCGTCTGGCGTACCACAAGGATCCCTATTGGGGCCCTTGCTCTTCTTAATTTTTATCAATGATATCGACACGTGTTTTAAAAATTCCAAGATTATTCTTTACGCTGACGATATGAAAATCTTATGTCCTATTACAAGTTTGGAAAGTTGTTCTAGCCTTCAAAAGGATCTCTTCAATTTAGAAGCATACTGTTCTAACAATAAACTCGATCTGAATGTTTCCAAATGTTTTATCTGCTCATTTACTCGTAAACCTAATCCTATAATTTATAATTATAAATTAAACCATATTTCTATAAATAGAACCAGCACTATCAAAGATCTCGGTGTTACCTTTGACTCTAAATTGCTGTTTGACAATCACGTTGATAACATCGTTACAAAGGCTAACAAAGCGCTGGGTTTCATATTAAGGTTATCGGCAGATTTTAAAAGCATAAAAACCTTCAAAATTCTATATTGCGCTTTTGTACGCAGCCATTTGGAATATGGTTCTGAAATTTGGAATCCAAAATATAATGAATATGTGGATAGGATAGAGCGCATACAAAAAAGATTTTTGCGTTTTCTTCAATTTAAATCAAAAAAGTTTATACCCAGCTATACTCTTCGATGTAAAAAAAATCACATATTACCTTTATATGAGCGTAGAAATATTGCAGATCTCTCCTTCCTCTTTAAAATTATGAATGGTAATATTGATTGTCCTGAACTATTAAGTAAAATAGGTTTACACACCTCATCATCTGGTTTGCGGAAACCTACACTTTTATATGTACCATGCGTGAAAAGTAATTACAGGAAAAACTCTTTTATTATTCGATCATGCAGATCTTTTAATGCTACAGCACATACTCACAATGTGGATATTGATTTATTTCATTCCAGCGTTATCCAACTTAGGCGTTTACTTTCTAACAACTTCTTTTCTTTTTGATAATGTAATTTATATTTAAGTATACTGTTACTATATCTCTTCTGACACACTCTTGTCATATAAAGTATTATATAAGTGAAAACTTGTAAATGGCCTTCATTTTTGTTATAATTATATTATTTTTGTAAATTAGCTGTAAGTTTTCCAAGCAAATAAAAATAAAAATAAAAATAAAAATAAATAAAATAAAATAAACATAGGCCTCTCCCATAGAAGGGGGATATTTGTCATCGTCGTCAAGCTTGGCAGGCGGGTTTTTCGGCACAGTTTCTATAATTTTTAACTGTAATCAGGAAAATGCTACTGCCTATATCTATTTGCGACACTTACGCCACCTACGAGATAATGTGGGGTAATGGATTTTCTTATGCCACCACTACACGGTATATTTGAAAGGTGGCGCACGTGTTTGCACATAGTACAGTATCTCAGCTTATGTGAGTAGCACGTGGCACAATACCTATACTAGCTCAAGTATGTGTGTACACGTAGCACAGTGTACTAGCTCAGGTGTGTGCATGTGGCACAGTGTACGGTGTCACGTGTGTGCACGTGGCACACTGTACTAGCTCATGTAAGTGCACGTGGCACGGTATACTAGCTCATGTGAGTGCACGTGCACAGTACTGGGCTCACTTGACGTGCGCGGGCGCGGCGCGCTGCACGGCGCACAGCTGGCCGGCGGCGGGCGAGTGCACGTGGCGCGGTACACTAGCTCATGTGAGTGCACGTGCACAGTACTGGGCTCACTTGACGTGCGCGGGCGCAGCGCGCTGCACGGCGCACAGCTGGCCGGCGGCGGGCGAGTGCACGTGGCGCGGTACACTAGCTCATGTGAGTGCACGTGCACAGTACTGGGCTCACTTGACGTGCGCGGGCGTGGCGCGCTGCACGGCGCACAGCTGGCCGGCGGCGGGCGAGTGCACGTGGCGCGGTACACTAGCTCATGTGAGTGCACGTGCACAGTACTGGGCTCACTTGACGTGCGCGGGCGTGGCGCGCTGCACGGCGCACAGCTGGCCGGCGGCGGGCGAGTGCACGTGGCGCGGTACACTAGCTCATGTGAGTGCACGTGCACAGTACTGGGCTCACTTGACGTGCGCGGGCGTGGCGCGCTGCACGGCGCACAGCTGGCCGGCGGCGGGCGAGTGCACGTGGCGCGGTACACTAGCTCATGTGAGTGCACGTGCACAGTACTGGGCTCACTTGACGTGCGCAGGCGTGGCGCGCTGCACGGCGCACAGCTGGCCGGCGGCGGGCGAGTGCACGTGGCGCGGTACACTAGCTCATGTGAGTGCACGTGCACAGTACTGGGCTCACTTGACGTGCGCGGGCGTGGCGCGCTGCACGGCGCACAGCTGGCCGGCGGCGGGCGAGTGCACGTGGCGCGGTACACTAGCTCATGTGAGTGCACGTGCACAGTACTGGGCTCACTTGACGTGCGCGGGCGCGGCGCGCTGCACGGCGCACAGCTGGCCGGCGGCGGGCGAGTGCACGTGGCGCGGTACACTAGCTCATGTGAGTGCACGTGCACAGTACTGGGCTCACTTGACGTGCGCGGGCGTGGCGCGCTGCACGGCGCACGGCTGGCCGGCGGCGGGCGAGTGCACGTGGCGCGGTACACTAGCTCATGTGAGTGCACGTGCACAGTACTGGGCTCACTTGACGTGCGCGGGCGTGGCGCGCTGCACGGCGCACAGCTGGCCGGCGGCGGGCGAGTGCACGTGGCGCGGTACACTAGCTCATGTGAGTGCACGTGCACAGTACTGGGCTCACTTGACGTGCGCGGGCGTGGCGCGCTGCACGGCGCACAGCTGGCCGGCGGCGGGCGAGTGCACGTGGCGCGGTACACTAGCTCATGTGAGTGCACGTGCACAGTACTGGGCTCACTTGACGTGCGCGGGCGTGGCGCGCTGCACGGCGCACAGCTGGCCGGCGGCGGGCGAGTGCACGTGGCGCGGTACACTAGCTCATGTGAGTGCACGTGCACAGTACTGGGCTCACTTGACGTGCGCGGGCGTGGCGCGCTGCACGGCGCACAGCTGGCCGGCGGCGGGCGAGTGCACGTGGCGCGGTACACTAGCTCATGTGAGTGCACGTGCACAGTACTGGGCTCACTTGACGTGCGCGGGCGTGGCGCGCTGCACGGCGCACAGCTGGCCGGCGGCGGGCGAGTGCACGTGGCGCGGTACACTAGCTCATGTGAGTGCACGTGCACAGTACTGGGCTCACTTGACGTGCGCGGGCGTGGCGCGCTGCACGGCGCACAGCTGGCCGGCGGCGGGCGAGTGCACGTGGCGCGGTACACTAGCTCATGTGAGTGCACGTGCACAGTACTGGGCTCACTTGACGTGCGCGGGCGTGGCGCGCTGCACGGCGCACAGCTGGCCGGCGGCGGGCGAGTGCACGTGGCGCGGTACACTAGCTCATGTGAGTGCACGTGCACAGTACTGGGCTCACTTGACGTGCGCGGGCGTGGCGCGCTGCACGGCGCACAGCTGGCCGGCGGCGGGCGAGTGCACGTGGCGCGGTACACTAGCTCATGTGAGTGCACGTGCACAGTACTGGGCTCACTTGACGTGCGCGGGCGTGGCGCGCTGCACGGCGCACAGCTGGCCGGCGGCGGGCGAGTGCACGTGGCGCGGTACACTAGCTCATGTGAGTGCACGTGCACAGTACTGGGCTCACTTGACGTGCGCGGGCGTGGCGCGCTGCACGGCGCACAGCTGGCCGGCGGCGGGCGAGTGCACGTGGCGCGGTACACTAGCTCATGTGAGTGCACGTGCACAGTACTGGGCTCACTTGACGTGCGCGGGCGTGGCGCGCTGCACGGCGCACAGCTGGCCGGCGGCGGGCGAGTGCACGTGGCGCGGTACACTAGCTCATGTGAGTGCACGTGCACAGTACTGGGCTCACTTGACGTGCGCGGGCGTGGCGCGCTGCACGGCGCACAGCTGGCCGGCGGCGGGCGAGTGCACGTGGCGCGGTACACTAGCTCATGTGAGTGCACGTGCACAGTACTGGGCTCACTTGACGTGCGCGGGCGTGGCGCGCTGCACGGCGCACAGCTGGCCGGCGGCGGGCGAGTGCACGTGGCGCGGTACACTAGCTCATGTGAGTGCACGTGCACAGTACTGGGCTCACTTGACGTGCGCGGGCGCGGCGCGCTGCACGGCGCACAGCTGGCCGGCGGCGGGCGAGTGCACGTGGCGCGGTACACTAGCTCATGTGAGTGCACGTGCACAGTACTGGGCTCACTTGACGTGCGCGGGCGTGGCGCGCTGCACGGCGCACAGCTGGCCGGCGGCGGGCGAGTGCACGTGCGCGCGGCCGCGCTGGTCCAGCACACAAGACCGCGCGCCGCTTATATCGCAGTAGACGCCGCTCACTCCGCAACTGTGCTTGTAGCGCACAGACGTCCGCCACTCCTCCACGCCAAAATATTCTATGTGACCTTGCTAAAAGTACAGCAGATAAAGGCCGATTCAAATTGGATCGGTAACTCGTTACTGGTACCGTTTAAATTGTTTCAACTGCTTCTAACTATTTCACTGATTTGATTGCCGCAATTTTATTTTTATATTCTACAATTTTTTTTTTTTTGGGTGTGGGTGTTTTGTCATTTACAATACATGTCTGTAACATACTCTACTTAGAGCACTCACTTTAATTTTTAGAACACAAGTAACCTATATTATGATACTCGATTACGAGAACACTGAGATTGTAATCGTAATTATGAATTCTGATAGCCAACATACTCGACGTAATTGAAACACTATATTTTTTCAATAGTTTTCTTAACTACTCTCTAGTTATTAAAGGCTATTAAAACTCTACAGCTGAACATAGGCCTTCCCCAAACATTGGCCTCATAAGCGAGATTTTGTCATAATTGACTCGCTCGTTTATTTTCAGTTTTAATCAGGACGATACTGATACTGCCATCTCCTTTTTCAGTTTCCGTCTATCGCCTCTTAAAACATCCACGGGTTGATATCGCTAGTGGATTCTCTCAGAATTACAAGGTCTGTGACAAACAGTGGAATGTTTAAATTTCATAACATTATTATGCACTTGAATAAAAAAAGCAAAAATTACGAAAGAGGCTTCTTACGTCAGTGACGAAAATAAAGAAATCGCCAGTCAAATGAATATCAACTATCTTGGCGCCTTGCATATGCGGCTCGGGGAAGAGCATTGCGTCACGTTCCGGTTGCGACGGGTCCGGTTGTTCGATCTGCATAAAGAGATTTAAATTTAATATTGTTGGGGGCACGAAACTTATAGAATTTTAGTAAAGTTTTAAAGCAAATTAAACACGAAATTATAAATGATACATTCTTGAAATGATGCTTAAAAGAGTTGTGTTGCTGTGTTTTATATGTTACAACTATATTATGATTGTAACACGAATGAGTTGGCGTGACTTGGCCCGGAGAGGGACCAAGCTCTCACAGAATACCATCGTGAAACAACAACTTAATGTTGCTGTGTTTCGTACAGTGGACGCATACAACCGGAGAACCTTTTTACTGGAAACAAGGCATTTCATCTTAGCCCTCAGGAGTGATGATGATGTAGATTTCTAAGGGTCACAGCATCCGCTTACCATCAGATGGACTATGTGCTCGTTTGTCACCCTTATTCTATAAAAATTTATTGGCGCTGGTATTTTATATAAGCGTGATCATTTCCCATTAGGGTTGCTTTCCCATTACAATGATTAACAGTCCCACATGCCAGAAATAATCCCGTACCGACACCATTAAAATTGTTTGAATGCAAAGGTAAAAGTAAACATGTGAAAACCTACACGCCTGGGAAAATAAATAAATTTCGAATATATTTAGATTCCGCCAACTCACAACTCCAACAGATACTAAAGAAAGTTTTTGTTTATACTGCACTCACATTTACATTCTTTTACCTAAGAATACTTAAGCTGAACGCACATTTATCAGCACCGTACCCGCCGTACGAGTTGCCTCTTTGAATTCGTTGTATGAAATCATATGAACCTCGCACATTGCAACCGCACCGCACCGTACGAGCCGAATTTTATGAAATGCGGTAGGTATTCAGTAAATGCGACGCGTGCTGCGTGTACGGTGCTGACAAATGTGCGTTCAGCTTTAACTTCTATTCTTTTCAATTCACATCTGTAAGCCTTTTTCCATTACGACAGTAGTACTTGTAACTATTTTTATTAATTAAGAATTGAGATAAGGAATTTGTAATGTTAAATGGTGAGCATAAACATACAACTATAGTGGCAATACTCATGGAGTGCTACATGGCAGTGCAACAGCGTATTTAAATAAGTCAAAATACTGGCTGGCACTGTGTTTGGCAAGTAGTGGCATCACTCACAGAGTGCAACATGGCGCGACCCTGGAACAGCGCGGCGGCGTAGTCGCCGGACATCCGCAGCGCCTGCACGGCGGCCGGGTACTGGCGGCGCGCGGCCGGCCCGCCGCCCAGCGGGTAGAACCACGCCTGCACCCCGCTCACGCAGCACACGTGGCCGCCGCCCAGCGCTATGGCCGTGGGCTCCGTGCCCAAAGTGTACGTGGCCAAAGCCATCGGCTCCGCTAAATTCAAACGAAATCGACAAACTCTTAAATTAACATACAAAAGTTGATTGCGATCTGACAAGTCATAAATAAGGCCAATTTTTAGGTGAAACAAACTGTCGGTGGGTCACTAATTTGTCCTTTTTTACGATTCTGTACCCAAAAGGTAACTAACGGGACCCCATTACTAAGCCTCCGCTGTCCGTCTGTCTATCTGTTACTCGCCTGTATCTCATGATCTGCAATAGTTAGACAGTTGAAATTTTCACAGAATGTGTATTTCTACTGCCGATATAACAACAAATATTAAAAAAAATTAAAAGGGGCTACTACTAGAAACGTGTTGTACGGAACTCTTCATGCGCGAGTCCGACTCGCACTTGGCCCTAGGTACTTGGCACTTGGCCGGTTATTTACCATGTTTTTATTACATTACATATTACATGAAAGCGAGGTGGCTTTCTCAAATACTACCTACATTTATTGCCAGATTCTGGCTCGTCGCCAACGGCGATGCACTGATACACTGTGAGTTCAGTGAGGTTGGTCAGTGTGACCGCTCTTGTGCCGTACACGGCGTATAGCGGCGGCAGTGTGGTCACGTACACGTTGAGGTAGGCACGGCCCGCGGTGGCCAGCAATCTACCATCACTGCTCCAAGCGCATCGCTCAGCACCACCTGGTGGTATCACCGAACCCGACACTTCCCCGTTGTTCCATACCGATATCAGTTTTAACCTAAAAAAAAATAAGGTAAGTCGAGCGAAATCAAGTATTGATTGAATTATGATTTCATAGTTCCATAAAGTCAAATAAACAGCTTATTTAAATATTATCTATAATATAAAAATGAATCACTGAATGTGTTGCTAAGCGCAAATCTCGAGAGCGGCTGAACCGATTTTACTGGTTCTTACGGAGAGAAAAATTTAAAACTTGCCTGAAAAAGTCTAAAAACAACACTTTTCTATATTCCCATACAAAAGATTCCTAATAATACTTAAAAGTCAATTTGAACTTTAATACCATACCATAAAGTTTAAGTGTTAGTGGAGGGGTTCCGGGAAGGCAAAACAATTGAGTGACGTTAGTATCGTATAAATATTAATGTCAATATTTGTCAATATTTATGAGATAACATTACTCAAAAATAAAATTAGGGTTCCGCGCAAAAAAAAATTGATATCCATGAAATCGTAGTAAATTCCACGCGGGCGAAGTCGCGGTGCACAGCTTGTAATATAATAAAAACCTAATTGCACTAAAAACTTTTAACTAATATTTTTTAAAGTAAAGAATAAAAAGCGCAAATTCGAATTTTATATGTACATTATAGTCCGAATCGATCGATATATCGACATTGTAGTCCGAATTTTATCTATACAAATCTATACAAATAAATAAAATTGAAGTGTCTGTTTGTAATGTCAAAATTACAGTTTTTTACTAAATGCATATGAAAGTAAATACGATACCCATAACTAAAATACAATTTTTAAAATTTTTGTCTGTCTGTCTGTCTGTTTGTTCCGGGTAATCTCCGAAAGGGCTGGGCCGATTTTGACGGGACTTTCACTGGCAGATATCTGATTTCATAAGGAGTAACTTAGGCTACTTTTATTTTAGAAAAAGAATCAGGGTTCCGCGCAGAAACATAAAAACCCTAACACGCGAACGAAGTCGCGGGGAACAGCTAGTATGTATATAAATGTATTTTTTTTTTTTTTATAGGATAAGGGTGACAAACGAGCACACAGTCCACCTGATGGTAAGTGGTTGCTGCGGCCCATAGACATCTACATCTATCCTCTGTTACAAATCAAAATGTAGATGCGTTGTCACCCGTGAGGACTAAGATGGAATGCCTCATTTCCAGTAAAAAGGGCCTCCGGCCACCTGCACTCACCAAGCGAAACGCAGAGGTAAACATCTACTTCACGCTGGTTTTCTGTGAGGTCGTGGTACTACCCCGGTTCGAGCCGGCCCATCCGTGCGACAATAAAAGCTGCCGCGTGGCTCTACCACTGTTGATAACCACTGTTGATACCATGTATAGCTTACAAATGCGCTGAGCTATTGTTGCTAAACTATTGGATTCCAAAACATGTATAGTCTGTTCGCTTAGATACGGTCGCCTGTGTCGTACCGCCTTGACACATGCCGCATCTTGTCAAAGGCGCCTCCGCGACATCAAAGATCGCCGCGTGCCACGTACAACCGTAGGAAAATTTGGCACTTTAAAACGAAGCGCCGTCGTAAAAGGTTCTTTGCTACCTAACTTGTGTTTATTATTTATATTCGTATTTTATTACAAAAAAATAAAATAGAATACTATTTTATTCTTAGAATAGAAAAACATTTATTTAACAAACACATTAAAAAATTATAAAATAAAAGCAAAATAATAAGTGCGCCTCCGGGTGTACCTTCACCATCTTAGAGAACATACCATACAACGTGAAAAATATAATTATAACATAATGTGTTTTGTAATGAATAAATTTCTTCTTCTTCTTTTAAATTATGGCATCTCTTGATAGAATTCTGCTAGTGTCAAGTCAGTCATGGGAGTGACATAATGAATAAACATAAATTTGGTTTAATAGTTGTCAATATCTATTTTCATTTCGATTGCTCCGGTCGCCGCTGTGAATGTTTTACATCTATCTGGATAATACAAGATTGCTATACCTCCCTTTTGGTCACAATATCTACTCGTACGTGTATATGTGTGTATGTACACATTATTAGCCCTACTGATCGTTTAAATAAAAGCAATGTTTATAAATAAAAAACCAACACCAAAATAAAATTACATATTGTAAAAAACAAAAATATTAAATAACTTACTGCCCATCACCGCAAGAAACTGCTTGACTACCAAAAACGGCAACATCGGTGAGATTTTCCTTATGATTTTTGACTTGAAATAGCTCCTCCCCAACTTCCTTCAGATGCGTCGAAATAGCTATAATGTAACCGGCGCTGAACCCGATAAGTATGTATCCGTCACCATACCATTTGTACGAAACTATTGAACCGTACCGCTGTTGAAATGCGAGCTCTATTGGGTTCTCAGGGTTCAGTAGATTATATAGGTACAGCGTTCGCTTCCCGACTATTAGACTAATCTGGGAAATGTAACAATTTGCACAAGTGAGATTCTTCTTTCCATTCGTTTATTTTATATTCAACAATTCAATTTCAATTTGAACGGTAGTAAATTTAAAAAAAAATATGTTCACGTTTTGCAAGCCATTTAGTAGCTGTTAGGATTCCTTTTCTGCCCAGTTGTCCGTCCCACCCGCCTATACATATTACTGCCGCCAAATAGCAGTGTTGTGTTGACATATTTCCTTTAAGCAGGGGTGACAACTCATCTGCATTTTGATCCTTAATCGATGATAGATGACATGACAGTGTATGAGCCACAACATCTACTTCTATCTCACAATCAGGTGGATTATGTGCTCGTTTATCACCATTGTAGAAGTAAAAAAAAAAATCCTATTATAAATACATACTAATTCTCAGAGCTTTTGAAAGATAAAGTAAAATAGCAACTTAATGCTGCTGTGTTTCGCAAGGTACGAGGGCGACACTGAAAGTTTTTAGAACTGGCCACTTGTAAACGATATAATAAAAAAATAAGTTCAAATTTTGAAAATGTAACTCTTTGCCAATATTATTGTGTATGTATTTTATTAATTTGTCATTTGTTTGCGATTTGATGGCAAATTGAAAATTGTGTCACGTCAGCATGAATTTAATTCGTGAAATTTTTTTATGACTTTCGATGTCATTTAAGTCAACGAGAAAGTTATGATAGACTTAGATTGGTCTTTCACTATGAAGCCCCATTCGTGCCACTGTTTACAACTAGTTTAATGAGTTTAAACGTAGTCGCACTAATCTTACCGATGACCTGCGTGAGAGACTTCTACGGCGACGACTGAAGATAACATCAGTGTTGTGCGGCGTATAATAGTGACTAACAAAAGAATGACTTATCAGCAGATTCGGACAAGTGTAGGCATCGGTATGAGTCAAGTGCACAAAATCCTCCATGAAGATTTAGCGGTCAGGAAGCTTTGTGGCCGGTGGATACCCAAAGAGCCCCAAAAACTACGTCGTGTCGATTGGTTTCGTGAAATAGTTCAAAGATTTAACTTAGGTGACTCAAATGCTGTGTTCGCCATATTTACGGGTGACGAAATACGATTTATTGTTATGATCCTGAAAGTAAGAGACAGTCTGATGTCTGGATGTTTCCTTCCGAGGAGTTGGCAACTAAATTGAAGAGAGGTCGAAGCGTGGGAAAAAAGATGGTGGCCTCGTTCTTAGGAAGGAGATGTTATTACGCAACAATTGTTTTAGAGCAGGTATGGGCAACCTTTGACATGTTGAGGGCCAAAATTTAGCGTGCAAATAAGTTCGCGGGCCGCGTTTAAAAGTACTTAGTGCATTTTAAAGTAGTGATAATATTTTTTGCGATAGATATTAGACATGAAATAAGACGACAATGTTATTATAGTACAATTTATCAAAATCACAAAATGAAATTTAATAAAATGGTACATTATAATTAAATCATTTACAATTGTTACAAACTACGAAAGCTAAATACACCGAAATCAATGAGACACTTGATCTTGAATTTGGGAAACTAATCCATCGATATTTGGATTAATTCCACTGATACAAAGACGTACCTAAAGAATTTTCCAAATTATCATCAGTCAGTCTTTTACGATGTGTTGATTTATTAACTTTCATCAATGAAAAGAACTGTTCGCATTTATAAGTACTGCCAAACGAACAAATCAATCTTCTTACGAATTTTCTAAGCTGTGGAAAATTGTCTTCTTCTAGGTATTTTTTGTAGAAATCGCACAACTCTACGTGTTCAAATTTGGATTTTAGGAGTGAGTTTTCTTGCATCTCGATCAACTCCATTTGTAAGTGTATTGGAGCATTTTGTACATTATATTTTGTAGGAATAGCAAATAAACTGAAACAGTCTTCCATGTTTTTGAAGTCGCTAAATCTGTTCCAAAATTGTTCCGACAGTAGCTTGAGTTCTTCAGCATATTCAGCATAAGCAATATTTTCATACGCAGAGAGTGTGTTGAAATGGTAACTGTTACCAGACAGCATTTGTGACTCCCACAAGCGTAGTTTGATCTGAAACGCTTTCAAATGGCTGTACAAATCATTTACTAACTGTCCTTGTTTTCGAAGTTTCAAATTTAAATCATTCAAATAGCCTCGAGATCGACCAGAAATGCCAAGTCACATATCCATTTTGGGTCACTTAATTCAGATAGTGGTTTATCTTTTAATTTCATAAAGTCTGTTATCTCATTTCTAAGCTCGTAAAACCGTTTCAACATTTTTCTTTTGCTCAGCCATCTGACTTCATAATAATATGTTACGTCGTTATATTCAGCTGATATTTCATCCAAAAACGCCTTGAACTGACGATGGTTAAGCGCTCGGGATCGAATAAAGTTGATGGTTTTTACTACCACATTCATAATATTCTGGAGTCGAATGGACTTAGAACACAAGTTCTGTTGGTGGATAATGCAATGAAGGACTATCAAATCACCTTTTTGTACATTTAATTCTGTTGCTTTTTTCATTCAAGAATTCCGATGAAACCTTTACGTAAGCCGACCATAGAAGGTGCACCATCAGTGCATACTGCAATTAATTATGACCATGGCAAGCCAAAACTTGTGAATACCTTTTGAACTTCAATAAAAATATCCTCTTCTGTAGTGGTTCTTTTTAGCGGCTGTAAAGCAAGCAATTCCTCAGTTACAGTGAACTCCTTATCAACACCTCGAATAAATATAGCCAGTGGAGCTGTGTCAGACAAATCGGTGCTCTCGTCTAATGCTATGGAAAATGATTCAAAACCAGCCATACGGTCAGTCAATGTTGTTTTTATATCATTAGCCATCATTTCTATACGTCGAACAACAGTTCGTCTTGACAAACTATTTTTTTCAAATTTATTTTTCTTTTCACGACACAAAATACCGCAAACTTCTAACATACACTCCTTGATAAATTCTCCTTCGGCAAATGGTTTTAATGCCTTTGCCAATTTTGAGCTAAGTATAAAACTAGCTTTCACAACATTATCAAGTTGTATTTTTGTTTATGAAACATTTGTTGCTGTTTTTCCAAATTTGCGGTAAGCTTCTGGATTTTTTCTGTTCTTAATTGTCCTGTCAGTGAGTGCAGCGTAGCATGCTTAGTTGAGTAATGCCTCTTTATATTGAATTCTTTCATTACTGAAATAGATTCATTACACAGCAAACAAATAGGCTTACCATTGTACAAGATAAAAAAGAATTCTTCAGTCCATTTTTCTTGAAACTGGCGACCCTCTGTATCTACTTATCGTTTCTTTCCACTAGACATCATTTTTGTTTACTTTTCGTTCAATAAACTTAATAACAAACTACAGTTAGTAACCACTCAAGATGCACACAAAGTCATAAAACAAGTTGACGGCTCGAGCAGTTCGCTAGGATATCGCTTGTCCAAGTTATCACCTCGGTAGCTCAAATAGAACTGAACTAACGTTCGGGCCATCCACCCGCTTATATAGGCAAAATGAAGGAATGATCTGGAATAAATTAGTTTAGAATAATTGAGAAGCAATAAATCTTTTGATGTGTCGCTCGTGAGGCGGCTAACCTCAAAGAATTTAATCGAGCACGCTGAGTGGCGGCGATTATCAAAGTGTGAGGCGGCAAATATCATATCCGTTGATTGCCAAAAATACCTTACTGTGAGTATAAGTACCTAATGTAATATTTTTTATTGGGTTTTTTCAAAATGTCTCGCGGGCCGGATCATATCTTACAGCGGGCCGGATTCAGCCCGCGGGCTGGTTGTTGCCCATATATATTTTAGAGGATCAAAAAACAGTTACTGCAAAGTGGTACACTAACAATTATTGTCTTGGAAAAAGTTCGGGACAAACGACCTCGCAGTAGGATCCTCCTTCACCACGACAACGCCTCGTCGCACACCGCCAAGCAAACAATCGACAACTTGGCGACGTCAAACGTGGAATTACTGGGTCACCCGCCCTATAGCCCCGACCATCGCACCTTGCGATTTTTATTTATTTCCGAAAATAAAAGAAAAACTTCGAGGAAAACGTTTTATAGGCGCCGAGGAAGCAGTGGCTGCGTTTCAAAATGCCGTCGAACGAAGAGACCCCTAAGGACGAATGGGCAAAGTGCTTTTCTCAGTGGTTACATCGGATGCAGCGATGTATTGATGTAAATGGACACTATTTCGAAAAGATATAACAAAACTAAGAACTTGCTAGTTTGTTTAGTTTTTGATTTTCTAAGAAACTTTCAGTGTTACCCTCGTAAGTGTAGAGAACCGGAAACCCTGGAACAGAGGCATTCCATCTTATTCCTCACGGTTTACAATGCATCTGCATTTTGAATTGCAAACATGCACACTTGTCACTCTTATACTATAAAAAAAAAGATGGCGAAACTGCCTCAAATATGATACATGTATAAAATGAATACTGGTGATGTTATATCTGATAATACTTTATTGTTTTTTTTTAATGAGTGCATCCACTACTTTGTCTGCCACCAATATTTGACAGATTTCATAGTGGGGAAGTTAATTTGTTCAAAAAATGTAAAGGTTAATGTTTCTTTCTTATACTATTAGCTTTTTTTTAATTTTATTAATATTTTATATTAATAAAAAAACCACTGAAGCATTGTTTTGTGTATTAATATAATACTCTAGAAATTGATAAACTTTTAGTAGAAATTAACTTCACAATTAAATGACACTGTATAACAAAAACCTTTACCTCAGTGTCAATTAGCGACATCTGGTGAGCAGAAAATTATTAGCCCTCATTTACATATGACGAAGTGAATAATGCTATGTCAGGGTTATTGCATTGGTTTAACATTAATATTCTACATTTAAACGGCAATAAAACTAAAAGCATAAAATTTAAAAATAACGAATGTTAAAAGTCTGAATACTTGTGAGTTTCTTGCTGGTTTATTATTTGATGATAACCCTTGGGAATGAGATAGTCGCTTCCAAGCTGTTTCTTCAATAAGTTTTCTAAGTAGTTTGTACAACTTACTGCGTACTATAAATACTTTTAAAAAAATCCCACTAAGTTTCTTGCTGGTTCTTCCAAGGACAGAGATTTTTTCCGGACCACTCGTAAAAGTTATCGCCAATATTGCCAAAGTAGATGGCAGCTTGGTCCTCGTGTTATATCGCGACGCGTTAAAATCCGTAAAACTTAGTTTCATTTAAATAATACTAGCTTAAAAAAAGATTAAAAAGGCTCGTAAATTATAGAAAAGTTTTCTTCTTTATCTCATCGTCTGTTACAAACGTCGTCCGTTCAAAAAAATAGGGCGGGAGAAAAAAGGGCCGATCGTGACACAGGTGAAGCTGTATATAGTCACCATATCATAGATAATATTATTTTACCATTTATCCTTTATTTTCATATTTTTAACGTACTGGCGGCAGCAACCCACACTACGCTACTGAAAATACTTTTATATGTCTAAGATGACACAGAACTTAATAATATTATATACTCCCAAAAATTAAATTAAGATAATATATAGGTATATAAATATATATATACTTACTGTATTTTCGCCTGCTACCCTCTCATCCATTTTCATCTCAGAAAACTGCAAATCATTTGGCATATCCCTTAGAGTGATCATTCTTAGTGTATCTCCATCAGAATTATTTATAGATAGACTTTTGTCTTCTGAAGCTAGAACTAATATACTGTCTCTGTTCCAAGCAGCACAAGTAATTTTTTTCGTATGTTTACCTATTATTGGTATTCTCCTGCAGAAAATTAAAAAAAAACTCTTTATCTTTTTGGGAATATAATAAATTAAATTTTAATATCCTTTACAGAACATAAATATTTGGAAAATCCAAAAACGCACACCGCGAATGCTCATATAAAAAAAATTATCAAATAATTTATAAAATAAAAAAAATTATTAATGAAAGGGACAGTATACAATAATGATATTCAAAAGGCGTCCTAAGGATTAAAATCTAAAGCGAATAGAAGAAATCAAAGTAATAAGTTCAGTTTTTTGAAAGATTGTTCATATCCATAGTCCAACCAACTGACGTCCAAGTGAAATTTACTTCAATATTTTTTTTAATAATAATCGAAATAATTTTATAAATACGTCAGAAGTATAGAATATAATTGAAATCTTCTCTTGCTATTGGTGTACTTTTTTTATTATATAAGTGCAATATAAGCTGGTGGAAGTGATTGAAGTTGAGTGATAGAGATAGAGCAGTACATCTCCGCTTCACATTCAATGTGTGCAGTATTTAGCCAGAATACCAATAGTACATACATCATACATATTTTTAAATTGATTTTACCTAAAGCAAATAAAAATACTTAAAAGAAATTACTACTATATTACTGAAATAAATAAAAGAAATTTAAATTAAAACCACTACAGCTGTTTATAAAATAAAATTTTCATAGATATTAGGTAACAGGCAGTTACCACCACCACTTTTAAAGCAAAATCTTTAGTTTAGGCATTTAAAAGTAATTAGGTATTTATGAACGAATTCCGACAACGATAACAAATAATTAATAATAACAAGGGAATAACTTACTCCTTTTCTATGCAGTCATAGTCCATCTGGTGTCGGTTTGTACCCTTACTTAGTTTGTCGCCAAGCAGCAGTGGACTCACTTCTATTACCCGCTTTGATGGTTAAGAAAGCCGGATTAATTAAAGGGTGTACGGCATTTCACCTTAGCCCTCAAGAGTGACAACGCATTTATTACCTTTTTCAACTAAAGTTTTTAGCAGGCTCGTTTGTTACTAGGTGATGATAAAGTTACTTCTTTTCTGAGTGGGAGTCCATCTTAGCAAGTACCAACCTCTTACCTATTTGTGCCGGTAGGCGGCAGTGCCTGCACTGCTGCAGCCGTGTTATGGTCTCAAGGCAGTGTGACTATAGGCTATGAGGCATTACATTGCAGTTCCCAGAGGTGACAATGCATTTATAACCTTCTTTGTTTTAAGTTGGTTGCATGTATCTATGAGCTGCAATACCTATCTACAGTCAAATGAACTGTATGTTTGTTTGTTACTTAAAGTTTATATAAATTAAAAGCTAGTTTGTTGCCACCTAATATATCATTCGATTTCCGATTGCTGAGATTACGCAACTACGCTCCATCATAATAAAAACTGACCGACAGGTTCGTGAGACGTCTTTTGAAACCTTACATCGGGACGTTAGGACATCCCCTAATTATAACATTATTAACAACTGGCGACCCGCTCCGGCTCCGCCTACGTGGTATCTATTAATTGACTTCCCCAGTGGTCTAGTAGTCGTAAACGCGGTTGCTGATCATGCGGTCCCCTGTTCGAATCCCGGGTCGGGCCAAAATCACTTATTGGATTTTTCTGTCAAAAAGTCAGGAAGTTAACGGTGTTTAACGCCCGTACCTCGAAAAACACGTAAAGCGGTTGATCCTGCGCAGATGCGCGATAGCCATCGGACTATAAAAGTGAGAGAATAGAGAATTTACCTGTGCCCGATTAGGCCCATTAGCCAGATTCTTCAAAGATAGATAGTCTCTGTGGAGAATGACTACCGTAATCGAAATTCGGTCTGGAGCACATTCATTATTATAAAAAAAGTGATATTATAGAATAAGAACAACCTACTTTGTGGTATGATGGTTATATAATGCCAGATTTCCTTTCTGTGTTCCAACAGCCAGAAGCGGCTCTCCAAAGGACCAAGCAAGGCAAGATGGAGGTTCACGCAAGCCAGTTTCAATATTCACCCGTTTATTTGCATGACACTCCCACAGTAACACTGCATTGCTGTTTGGAGTTATCACAGCCAAATAATCACCATCATTGTCCCATTGCATACCAGCACATAGTCTGAAATTTAATTAGGTCTCGGTTAATTTATAAAGTTAATAAAATAAAATAAAATTATTAGTGTTAGCAAAAAATTGTTCTTGCAAGTAATCCAAAAACTTTACTCATTTTGGATGTTTGTCTTTAATTTCATTTGATATTGTTTTATGCCAAACTTTCAATAAATTTGTAGTTCTGTGAGGCACTCCGAATGAATTCCAAATAGCCACATAAAAGGTCCACGTCCTTAAGTCATCTTTTCATAGTAATTCACAAACACCATCATATTATCATCATTATTCAATGACATAAATTATGTCACATGAAATGATAAGTAATTGGACAATTGAAGGTATTTCAGTTTTGACCTTTGAACAAGAAGTATGTATGTACTTTTATAACTATGCTAATGTCTACTAAGTAATCTTAGGCCAGTTTCTATCATGTTTTGATACACGACTGTACTCAGCCAAGGGAGAAAATCGGAAGAAAAATAAAATACGAATTCCGATTACACACCCCATTTGGGGTGGATAAACAAATTTGCGTTTCCAACTATCCACCCTAGTGTGAATTTCTTAGGGTGGATAAATGGAATAACCCAAAGTTTTTACCGTTTTACCAGGTGGTATACCTCCTTTTCTACCTGTCTGTCTGGGTATGTACATCTCTCTTACCCCTTTTGTTACCGCCAAATGGCATTGCCTTCACCACCACTGTATTCCAGTTTGAAAGGTATAGAGAGGCAGTATAATAACAGGTTGTGAGGCATTTAATTTTAGCCCTCTGAGATGACAACTCATTTGTAACCTTTAAGTTTGCTTCAGTTGTCCATAGATTGCAGTAGCCACTTACCATCAGGTGAACTGTAAGTTTGTTCGTCACTTCAGTTTTATAAAAAAAACTTTTCAAACTTACCCTTGCAATTTCAGTCTTTCCAATAATTTACCAGAACGGTCATGTATAGCCACTGTTGCATCAGTACCAGTAGTTGCAAGAAAAGAGCGAGATTCTCCCTTTTGCCATAAAAAATATAACTCTCCCATGCCATGAGGTTGCTCCAAAGTATATAACAACTAAAATCCACAATGAACTTAATGGTTATATTATTAACATAGATAGATGATGAGATCATAGATGAGCGGAGGCAGTAGAGTCCAAGAGGGAGGCATTGGCCATTAGTTTAGACATTGCGAAGGCCTTCGATAGGGTTTAGCACAAAGCGCTTCTTTCGAAGCTCCCTTCCTATGGGATTCCCGAGAAATTGTGCAATTGGATCACCAGCTTCCTTACAGATTGGAGCATCAAGGTTGTTGTAGACGGTGCATGGTCCGAATACGAGCCCATTAACGCTGGTGTTCCACAAGGCTGCGTGCTATCACCAACACTGTTTCTTCTATATATCAATGATATGATTTGAAGCGTCAGTAGCCTAATGGCAGGACGCGGACCGCGAACTCGAAAGGTCGTAGGTTCTAATCCGCCATTCGACTACTGTCGTGAACCACTTCTAACACAAGCATTATAAGCTTACCAGAAGTGGTTAAAGGGAATATTAGTAATGTTTAATAACATTACTAGTATTTTTTTTTAAATATGTTGCAAACCGGTAACATTCATTGCTATGCGGATCACAGCACTGGTGATGCTCTATACGCTGGCCGTGCCAATATTTCTCGGGAAAACGTCACCGAGTATCGGAACGAACTTGTGTCTGAGCTCAAAGTCTCAGATTGGGGGCGACTAAATCTAGTCCAGTTTAATCTTTAGAAGACACAAGTTTGCGCGTTTACCACTAAAAAGAACCCCCTTGTCGTATCTCCTCAGTTTCAAGGCCCTCCCCTTGTTGCCTCAGCCAGTATCGGAATCCTCGGCGTCGACATATTGAGTGACGTGCAGTTTCATGGTCACTTGGAAGAGAAGGCCAAATTGGCCTCTAAAAAGCTTGGCGTGCTCAGCAGAGCGGGACAGTATTTCATGCCGGCACCACGCCTGCAACTTTACAAGACGCAGCTTCGGTCTCACATGGAATGCTGTTCCCATCCAAAATAATGGAATCCATTATAAACTGCCAGCTCATGAGGTACCTTGAGGCTCACCAGCTGATTAGTGACCGTCAGTACGGTTTTCGTCGAGGTCGATCAGCTGGTGATCTTCTAGTCTATCTGACTCATAGATGGGCGGAGGCAGTAGAGTCCAAGGGGGAGGCATTGGCCGTTAGTTTGGACATAGCGAAGGCCTTCGATCGGGTCTGGCACAAAGCGCTTCTTTCGAAGCTTCCTTCCTATGGGCTTCCTGAGAAATTGTGCAAATGGATCACCAGTTTTCTTGCTGATCGGAGCATCAAGGTCGTAGTAGACGGTGCATGCTCTGATTTCAAGCCTATCAACGCTGGTGTTCTACAAGGCTGCGTGCTATCACCAACGCTGTTTCTCCTGCATATCAATGATATGTTGCTAACTGGTAGTATTCATTGCTATGCAGACGACAGCACTGGTGATGCCTTATATACCGGCCGTGCCAATATTTCTCGGGAAAACGTCGATGAGTACCGGGGTAAACGTGTGTCTGAAGTCGAGTCTTTGCTTAACAAATTCTTGGATTGGGGCCGACTAAATCTAGTCCAGTTCAATCCCCAGAAGACACAAGTTTACGCGTTTACCGCTAAAAAGAACCCCTTTGTCGTATCTCCTCAGTTTCAAGGCACTCCCCTTGCTGCCTCAGCTAGTATCGGAATCCTTGGCGTCAACATATCGAATAGTGTGCAGTTTCGTGATGAAACTCCGCCGTTGCCGGTCCCAAGCCCGGATGAGAAAGGAGGAGGGGACGATTCCGCCGGAGAGAGTGGGTGTATCCGGTGGACTAACACACCCAACTGCGCTAGGACCTGCGCAGTCGAGCGACGTACGCGGGGATGAAGGAGTCCTGGAGGGTTGAGCCGATCGTCGCTGGGGTATATAGTGGCGAGAGGCAACACGCCCTCTTTGGTCCGGATTTCAAGCTAAACGGTGGCCCTATCTGCTAGCCACAGATAGGGAAATGGCCAAGCGCCCCGTCAGAGGGTCGCAGGCGAGGGATGTGGGGGCTGCCTAGTCTTCCTGAAAAGGGGGCTGGGTGGTGGTAAAGGCCATGCTGACGGAGCAAGTGACAGTTTATTCGGGTGGTGGGGATGGGCCTTGTCAGCCCCATCTACCAGCTGGATCGAGCTCCCGATGTCGCGCTGTGAGCCAACTTCGCGTCCCTATATTCTCCCGGTAATCCTAACGCCTGAAATTCCTTTTGCTTCTAAAGTAGGGCGTTCCCAAAGGTGCGGGCTCCATGGAGGGTGGGAAGCCGGGGGGATGAATTTTAAAAAACACAAATTATGGACAATTTAAGGCCCAATAAGAAAGAGGGAGAGGTGTCAGAGGTGCTTACCAGAGACACCAAAGAACAAAAGGGAACCGTCACTAAACCGACGGTTCCACGGACAGTACCGTCCAGCGTAGGTGCCCCCACCAAAGGGATAACCTCGCTGAACGTTTCCAAAACCAGTTCCAAGGAGCTGGAAGAGAAAAAGAAACAAGAGCCCGCAAGTGATAAAACTGCGGAGCCACTACGGACTGACGACCTTTTCTCTGCTGCCTGGCAAGTGGTGAGCCGTAAGGGGAAAGGCAAGGCACCCAAAAAGGTGACTTGCCGACCTGACGGACCATCAGGAGGGTCTATCCCTGCAGGCAGTAGTGGAAAGGCCAAAAAGAAGAACAAGAAGCAGCGGGAAAAAGGCCGTAGAGAACGAGCCGCATTGGCTGCTTCAGATACCAAAACCAAGGAGGCTGGGCAAGCTACTGCGACTGGGGTGCTTGGCGCTGGAACCAGTAGCCGCGCTGAAGCTGGGAAGGATAAAAATCCAGCCCAAGTGGAAGTCGCGGACGCGGGAACCAGCTCTAGGATATCCGCCAGGAAGCAGCGAGCGGCCAAGCGTCCTGGGAAGAAGGAAAGAGCAGCCAAAAGGATGCTGGAAGAGTCCACCTCGCCTAGAGGTGAACACAAAAAAGTGCGACTCGAACAGCAACCAAAGACTGCAAGAACGAGCTACGCTTCCGCTGCTAAAGCAGATTTGGGTGTGGCCTTAACGTGTGCGCGTTCAGGTCACATTACGAAGGAAGTAGCAGACGACATCCTCGTAGCAATACAGAGGAAGATGATCAGCGAGGCCTGGAGTAGCCAGGACCCTGATGCGTCGGGCCCAGTTTTTAGGGGCAAACCCGTTTATACGGAAGGTGTCCTGAAACTGTGGTGCGACGATCAGAAGGCTCTGGACTGGTTGAAGGGGAACATTGCTACCCTCGACCTTAAATCCAGCACCTTGCTGACAATAAAGAAACAGTCAGAGATACCACAAAGAGTCAAATGTGGTATCCTTATCCCTGATGCCCAGGGGGCCTGGAAAGACTCACGCGACATTGGTCGCGTGTTGGCGTACCAGAACCGCTGGGTTAACATCAGGGACTGGCTGTTACTCAAGGCAGATAAGCAGACGGACGGGTGGTTCCTCGTTGTTTCGGTGCCGGAGGATCATATCCCGACCCTGATGAAGGCCGGACGCCGTCTCGCATGTGTATGCGGGGCGGTATACGTAAAATTCCAGGGTCGTGGAGGCAAATTCTTTGATACTCCACCGAGCAAAGAGGTAGAAAACAACCCGGAAGTTATGGATACCGGAGCCATAGTTACCGGTACAGCGGAATCACTGGAGGCCAAGTCCAGTGAAGAAACGGCCTGCACAATTGAGCCGAAGCCCCCAGTGGAGATTGGGCTCAGCGGCAGCTCACTGAGTGACGAGGAGGACTGCATTTTGCCGACCACCTCCGACTCGGTGGCTGACGATGAAACCCGAGATCTTCTGGCAGGCCTATTTTTGGGCGGGGACGGGGAGGACGCGATCAATGATGGCGTGCCCTTCGTCCAAAACTAGCCTAGTGCAGGCCAACCTCCACCACAGCGAAACTGCGTCGGCTCAATTACGCAAGTGGTTGGAGGTTCAAAGGACTGCCATAGCCTTAATCCAGGAGCCATGGGTTGGGGCTGGTAAAATTAAAGGCCTAAACAACCTAAAAGGTAAGTTATTCTACAGCTCTGAACACGACAAGCCTAGAGCGTGTATTTACACTACTAAAGATATCTGTGCACAACCTTTAACAGATTTCTGTTCTAGAGACATGTATGCCGTAGCAATACAGTACACACAGGAGAGTAGATTAGTCGTCGCCTCGGTCTACATGCCGGAGGAAGACACTCCTCCCCCTCATGACCTCAGCAGGCTGGTGAACTTCTGCGAGAGGACCGGACTAGAGGTTGTGATCGGGACGGACTCCAACGCACATCATCCCCTTTGGGGAATGGAAAAACCAAATGAACGAGGTAAAGTTTTAGTTGAATATTTATTTAGTACTAACCTAACCATTTTAAACATAGGTTCTGAACCTACTTTCATAAACAAACGCTGTCGCACTATAATCGACCTCACACTTGCAACAGAAGGAGCAGCCAAACTAATTACGGGATGGCATGTGTCGAGAGAGGCCTCATGCTCAGACCATAGATGGATCTGCTTCGCACTACAGGTCGATATCCCCTCTACACCACCATGGAGAAATCCCCGCAAGACAGATAAAACAAAATACCTAAATAGGCTGACGTCTTTACTAGCAGATTTTGAGGGGATAAATACTATAGCAGATCAGTCGCTCCTAGAAGAACAGGTAGCAGCTGTTACTAAGGCCATGATAGACAGCTACCATGAATCATGTCCAGAAATCACTCCACCAAGACATGCCGAGGTAAAACAACCGTGGTGGGGTAAAGAACTCGATAGAAAACGTAAGAAGGTAAGAAAAGCTCTAAATAGGGCCATGAATACCTCAATGGATGAAGACTGGCTATTATATAAGAAAGCTAAGTCTGAATACAAAAAATGTATCAGGTATCGACGCTCGATTGGGTGGCGTAAATTCTGTGGCAACATAGAAACCTGCAAACAAGCAAATAGGATTAGGAATATTCTAGCTAAACAGAACACGTCGGGATCCATGTCTCTAAAGAAACCCGACGGTAGCTACTCAACATCGCCGGATGAAGCCCAACGCATCCTAATTGAAACGCACTTCCCAGGTTGCTGCGTAACCCAGGAGGCAAACCGGCATGACGACATACTGACATCAACAGCAGAAGACTGGAATTTAGCACAGAGAGTGGTAACGATGGACAAAATCCATTGGGCCATTCACAGTTTCCTCCCCTATAAGGCGGCAGGACCCGACGGCATATTCCCGGCACTCCTACAGTGGGGGGGTAAAGCCCTAATAGTCAGACTTGCTGCCATAATGCGAGCCTGTCTTGCTCTTAAATATGTTCCTAGGGGATGGAGGGAAGTGAAAGTTACATTCATACCCAAACCAGGTAAGAGCGACTACACTGACCCTAAATCCTACAGGCCCATTAGCCTCACATCCTTTCTCCTAAAGACGATGGAGAGGATGTGTGAAAGGGAATTAAGGGGGTCGGCGCTAATGAACTTACCACTACACGACAAGCAACACGCCTACAGTCTAGGCAAATCAACAGAATCGGCCCTTCATAAGGTAATTACAAAGATTGAAGAGGCCATCCAAAACAAAGAAATATGTCTAGGTTCCTTCATAGATATAGAAGGTGCTTTTGACCGAACGAACTTCTCCAGCATAAAAGGTGCACTCGGTAGACACAAAGTTGAACCGGCACTGATCGACTGGATAGTTTACATGCTCAGTACACGAATAATAAAGATTGCTGGTGAATCTCAACCAATCCAAATTAAGAAAGGCTGCCCGCAGGGTGGGGTTCTCTCACCTCTCCTGTGGAATATGGTCATTAATGAACTCATCAGCAAATTAAATGACAATCACTTCTATACAGTAGGTTATGCTGATGACCTGACAATACTGGTCTCTGGAAAGACAGCAAGCATAGTGTGCGACCTGACCCAAGCGGCTCTCCGTATAGTGGAGAGATGGTGCAGGGAACACGACTTAACCGTCAATCCAAATAAAACGGTTTTAGTTATGTTCACACAAAAACGAAAGCTGAATAACTATCATCCTCCAAGTCTTTTTAGCACAAAACTCCAGCTATCCTCTGAGGTAAAATATTTAGGTCTTACCTTGGACAGCAAACTTAACTGGAATAAACACATAGAAAACAAAATCAACAAAGCTAGCATAACTTTCTGGCAATGCAGAAACATGATTGGCAAAAGATGGGGATTGACGCCAAAAATCATAGTGTGGCTTTACAAAACTGTAATTCGGCCCATGATCACATACGGCGCTCTGGTATGGTGGACCAAGACAAATGAAGCCACCATAATTAAAAAGCTTCAGCGCTACCAGAGACTGGCATGTATGGCTGCCACAGGCTGCATGAGAACTACGCCAACAGCAGCCTTAGAAGCGATGCTGGAGCTAACTCCGCTTCATCTACATATACAACAAGAAGCGACTTTAGCTGCCATCAGACTCAAGACCCTAAATCTTTGGAGTAAGAATAGTGTCCCTCATACAGGCATAATTGATAGAATTCACTCAAAAATTCCTATCCTACAAGCCAAATACGATAGGATTCCTAAACAATTTGTTTTCGATAAGAAATACAAGATACAGTTAAATGAAAACAGCCAGCCGGAAGGATTAAGCCCAAAAGAGCTTAGAATTTTCACCGATGGTTCTAAAACAAATGAAGGTGTAGGTTCTGGAGCTTTCTCTGAAGACCTCAATATTCACATATACACACCGCTGGGTACCTATAACACGGTCTTTCAGGCGGAATGTATGGGTATCATTCAAGCGGCCATAGCAATAGATGCTAGGAAGGTTAATGACTTCCCCATCAGAATACTGACCGACAGTAGGGCGGTACTCCAAGCCCTGAGATGCAATGTGGTGAACTCGGGACTAATATATGAATGCCATCAACGATTAAATGAGGTATGTAAAAACAACAATGTGACCCTGCAATGGATAAAGGGACACAGTGGATCCAGAGGCAACGATGCAGCAGACGAACTGGCTAGAAGAGGATCGGCTTTGGCCACTATAGGGCCGGAACCAATCATACCAATCCCCTTTGGTAACGTTTGTTCACTGGTACGTAGACACTTCACTAATCAACACGCTCAGCTTTGGAAAAATCTAGTAGACTGTAGACAAGCTAGGGATGCCCTGCCTGAAATTAACAGTCGCTTAACAAAAGTTTTAATGAGACTGAACAAGCCGCAGATTAGGATAGTAACAAGTGCTATCACAGGACACGGCACCTTTAACAAACATTTATTTACTATAGGTGTTACAGATAGTCCCCTGTGCAGGGCATGTATGGGGGAGGAAGAAACGGCGGCCCACGTGCTACTGAAATGTCCGGAGGTCGCTACATACAGGGCTAAACATCTCGGCACGCCGGGATCACTCCCCGAAGTTGCATGCAACATCAAGGGCCTGTTGAGCTTCTTCGGAGAGATCTCATGGCTCGAATAATCACATTATTCCTGCCCACACGCAAAATACGCGCATAGACGTGGAGTTGCGGAAAACAGCCCGTCGTAAACTAAACTAAACTAAACTAAACAAATTCTTGGATTGGGGCCGACTAAATCTAGTCCAGTTCAATCCCCAGAAGACACAAGTTTACGCGTTTACCGCTAAAAAGAACCCCTTTGTCGTATCTCCTCAGTTTCAAGGCACTCCCCTTGCTGCCTCAGCTAGTATCGGAATCCTTGGCGTCAACATATCGAATAGTGTGCAGTTTCGTGATCACTTGGAAGGGAAGGCCAAATTGGCCTCTAAAAAGCTTGGCGTGCTCAGCAGAGCGAGACAGTATTTCATACCGGCACATCGCTTGCAACTTTACAAAGCGCAAGTTCGGTCTCACATGGAATGCTATTCCCATCTTTGAGCCGGAGCACCCAAGTGCCAGCTTCTTCCACTTGACCACATCCAGCGCAGAGCGGCTCAAATCGTTGACAACCGAGTCCTCTCCGATCGGCTCGATTCATTGGCACTGCGAAGAGATGTTGCATCCCTTTGCATTTTCTTTCGCATTTACCACGGGGAGTGCTCTGAGGAATTGTTTGGATTTATCCCAGCCGCCAAATTTCACGAACACACATCACGGCATAACTCCTGATACCACCCACACCATCTGGATGATTGGCGGTCCACCACTGTGCGATTTAGAAAATGTTTTCTTCCTTGCACAACTTCCTTGTGGAATCGATTACAATTGGCTATTTTTCCTGACCGATATGACTTAGGGACCTTCAAGAAAAGAGCCTACTCCTTTTTAAAAGGCCGGCAACGCATCCGCAATTCCCCTGGTTTTGCGGTTGTTCATGGGCGGTGGTAATCACTTACCATCAAGTGAGCCGCATGCTCGTCTGCCCCCTCTCCTACTGAAATAAACAAATTGAACAATAAATAAAAAAAGCTAAAAACTTACCTTTGGAGTAGTCATACCTATGAATATTTTTGAAATTTTTTATCTATGCTATAATCATACACACTTTTAAGAAATAACTGTAGCCACACTGCTGTAGCTGCTCCTATGTGTTTGTTATTTTTTCAGTTCTTTTACCTTTGTATTGTTTGTATTCATCTATATGCTTCGGCACAAAGTTGAGAATAAGAATTTGATTGGAGCGCTTCCCTTTTTTATACATATAGTTATTGTACTTTTTGAATGGTAAATTTTTGTAGATTTCGAAGTAAATATCCAATATATTATAACGACTTAGACTACGTTTTGCACTCCGATCTAGTACATAACAAATTTTTGAATAAACGTAGTGATTTATATCATTCAGAGTATGTAAAAACACTTCTCTTTGACTTTGTTGTCGAATGGTGTTTTATTTTTATTGAATAAACTTGCAAATATATTTCTTTCATAAAGTAATAAGCATGCAAAGAGTTATACATTGACTTATATATTACTAGCGTAAATAAGGTAAGCATCTACAAAGCATGTTGACAACATGATGTTGCTAGGCAACCGTAACAAATTTTTTTATTAATTTTTTGGCTTGAATGCTTGTTTTTTAAGCTATGTTTTCATTTCATTCGAGATCTTCATTTTTAACACGGAATATAAACTTTTTTTTTATATTCCGTGGTTTTTATATATTTTCAGTCTCAAGTGGTAATAATCCTTTATAGTACACTACTTAATAATATAATGATGCGTCATATTGCGTAGTTTTTTGGAAGATTTTGACGGCAACTTAAGCCAGCAGACAGTTGGCGATATTATCTCAAGGCTTCTTAGCAGACATACACCTTATGTTGAGATTCACATCACCATCGGAGCGCTTGTTTCATCGATTCCACTAATAGTTCACATACGCAGATATTAAATACACAAAATCGTACCCCTTTAACATATCAAAATCTACTTCAAACCATTATTCAAACAATAATACAAGAGCAGCAATCTGAAGCTTGTCAAGTACTTTTTTAAATATTATTTAATGACAATATAATATAGCAGCTTGCCACATATTTATTACGAAAAAAAAAATGTTATTCAATCCATTGTAAATTAAGTATTAGATTAGGTACAATACGCACAAAGAAAGAAAGTAGACTTTCTGAAACGACGGTATCGATTAAGAACGTTGCATTGGCTACGTGAATAAACATTTTTTTTTTAATAGAATAAGGGTGACAAACGAGCATACGTTATTGAACCTGGAATGTCGTCTTCAATGTAGCTACCTACTCTGCATCTGCAACATAAAATCATACCTACCTAGAAATATGAGGGGCTAATAATCTTACATTCACCATGTCGCTATTTGGAACCAAAGAGTAGGTATTAGCTATCCTAGAAGTTGGGAATTAGGTAAGCTTCTTTATCGCGAAAATGGTTCTTTCATTTTTAGGAATATCCGTATTTTGGTTTATCGATTTCCAAACTAATTAATCTATATACGTACAATAACTTTCTGCTTAGCTGTCTGTGTATTCACGATTCACGCAAAAAAAGTACCAGACGACTTTCAAAAAAAATTGTATGTAAGTAGTTAGTGAACCAGCTTATAGTATTAGATATATGTAGTAGTTAGGCAACTTATGGAGTACCTTTTACACGATCACGGGACTTCAAAAAAGGACGGTTATGTATTTTCCTTCCTTTACATTATTTAGACATTTTATTTATACTTTCAAAATTATATCGGTGCAGTTGTAATCTATTAGTGCAGTTCTACTGCCATAGAATATTATAAATATATTTCCCTCATTAAAAAAATTATGTATATCGTTTTATTTCAAAAATATGAGCTAAAGCGATGATATTTTATGGTGAAAAAAGACACTCATCATTTTTGCTTAAATGATTACCACGTAATCGCCCTTTTTGCATCAATGCATTGCAACCTGACAGTCATCTTAAACGCACAATATTATGTGAAAGAGGATCACATAAGTGACCATTTTTCATAAAAATCTAGTTCATAAAACCATACTTTACTAAAAAACTATATCATATTTTGAAATACTTCTATTTATGAATAACTTTAAGGCCCGTATTAATTAACGTTACTCAGCTCAAGTACACGCACTTGAGTACAATTTTTAGGTTATGATCTTATTAATAAACATATCTCAAGATGCGGTTTAGGTTTACGATATCAGCTGAGTGCCACACTGATTAATAAACGTAACTCGACTCTCAAGTGTGTACTTGAGTGCAAGTTACAGAACAGTATTCTTAAGTACAGCGTTTTGAGATACTGTTTTTATGTGTTTATTAATTAGCAACGATATTGAGATGCTGATAACGTAATGAGGGCGTATCAAATGATTACACACTTGAGTTCGTTGTTGAGTAACGTTTATTAATACGGGCCTGTATTTATTAATTACCAACGATCTTGAGAATCTGATATCGTAATGAGGGCGTATCAAAAGATTACGCACTTGAGTTCGTCGTTGAGTAACGTTTATTAATACGGGCCTTAAAATTAGAATCCATACCATATGGTAGGGCTTTTGATATTATGATCGTTGAATGGCCGATGTTCTACAACAGAATGTCTAGGGTAGGGTGAAATATCAATCCCATTCCACTGCACAGCAGTACAGTGGAATGAAAATTAAAGTGGCATAAATTTGAAAAAAATCAGCTTTTCAAAACTTATTACCTACCTACACGCGCAAATGAAATTGAACAGCAAGTGGTTATAAACATTATTAATAAGATCATAACTTCAAGATTGTACTCAAGTGCGTGTACTTGAGCTGAGTAACGTTTATTAATACGGGCCTAAGTCGCTCATTATAGATATAGTTATTTAACGTTGCCAATCAACCATCCAGTATTCAAATTCACACACAGCCACCTAGTTGCACAGTCGACGCCAGGCAGGCTGAATTAGTGTTAGAGCATTTGGAAGAAGAGCCGACCACAAGTACGAGGCGAGCCGGAACAAGATTCGGTATAAACCATGTTGCAGTTTAGCGAATTCTTCGTGACGACAATCGTCACCCTTATCACTATCGCCGTACACAGGAGCTGATACCCTCCGATTTTGCACCCAGGAGAAACTCCTGTGAGTGGTACCTCAGGCAGTTAGAGGAAAACCCTAATTACGTAAACTATGTTCTTTGGACGGACGAGGCAATATTCACGAGGATTCAGGACTTTCAAATATGCCGAACGATCACGTTTGGGCTCGCATGAATCCACATGCTTCACTGCAGGGCAGATTCGAACAACAGTAGCGGCTGAATGTGTGGGCTGGCCTTTATGACGGGCATGTCATCGGTCCCGTCACTATGCCATCACGTCTAAACAGTAGGAACTATCTGTTTTTACAAACGGAATTCGAAGAAGCGATTGACGACATTCCTGTGGCTGACTGGGATTACTTTGAGAACCAAAGAAACATGGTGTTTCAGCATGATGGAGTTCTGGCACATTTTGGTTGCAACGTACGAGAACATCTTAACGTTCGCTTTCCGCGAGGATGTATCGCCTGCTATGGCCTGCTCGTTCTCCGGACTTCACACCCTTGGACTACTTTTTGTGGGGTTATGTGAAGGACAGAGTGTATTTCTCCGATTGCGAAGATGGAACAGCGTGTTAGCATCCGCATCAATAACACCGACGATGGTGCGAAATGCCACACAAGCCATATCCCGACGAGCGAGGTTGTGTATTGTTTATACCATACCATTATATATATATATATATATATATACTAGCTCGCCAGGCAGACGTTGTTCTGCCCTTAAATGCTTAAAAAAAATTTTGATGGTCATTTATCGGGATAACAACTATCCTATCTCTCAAGTTGGACCAAAATGCACACAGTGTGCAAAATTTCATTGAAATCAGTTCAGTAGTTTAGGAGTCCATCGCGGACAAACAACGTGACACGTAATTTTTACATATAAACATATATATATATAATATTATACGTCTTGAACTTTATGGAGTAACCTGAAGAGAACTAGGTGTGCCGAGTTTGGTCTCGTTTTGTTAGTTATGATGAGACCTTACCTCCGGACTTTAGAGTGACCTGAAGGTGTACTTCGGTAAATGCTACTGGAACTCTTTGACGACTAGAACCAGTGCCAACCTGAGGCAAGTTTTAGGATGGAACAAGACCCAATTATGGCGCCCCCCTATCTTGCCCCTAGTATATACCAGTTGTACGTGCACATGCAAGCACGAAACTGGGAAGTTCTCGACAACATCTTAGGTCTATGTCTAATTTGTCGATTGAAAACAGCCATGCTCGTGGTATTTTATGCAACGCACTCCTTACGGTATCTATAGGAACCGTTGATGTAGAATGGAAAAACAAAATTAAAACAAAATTAAGTTAATATTCATTAATGAGATCAATAAGCATAATCTTACTTTAGAACTGGTACTTAAACGTTATGTTATATGTTTACTAATTAATGTCATCATCATTCATCATTACAGCCCTTCACAAGTCCACTGCTGAACATAGGCCTCCCCCAAAGAATGCCACAAAACACGGTCCTGAGCCACCTGCATCCATCGACTTCCTGCATGTCTTACCAGGTCGTCACTCCATCTCGTGGGGGGACGCCCTACACTTCGCCTACCGGTACGAGGCTGCCACTTGAGAACCTTTCTTCCCCATCGGTTGTCGGTTCTTCGAGCTATATGGCCGGCCCACTGCCACTTCAGCTTACTAATCCGTTGGGCTATGTCGGTCACTCTGGTTCTACTGCGGATATCCTCATTCCTAAGTTTATCACGCAGAGAAACTCCGAGCATAGCCCTCTCCATAGCTCGCTGAGCGACCTTGAGCTTCCTCATACGGCCAGCAGTGAAGGACCACGTCTCAGTTCCGTAAGTCATCACTGGCAACATGCACTGGTTGTACAATTTCGTTTTAAGGTTTTGAGGTATGTCTGACGAGAAGATGTGTCGTAGCTTCCCGAACGCTGCCCAGCCGAGTTGAATCCGTCGAT